TCCTCTGTGGAAACCAAGGTTTGACTGTCTTTTTTTTTTTTTATTCATATGTGCATACAAGGCTTGGTTCATTTCTCCCCCCTTGTTTGACTGTCTTTAAAAAGAAAAAGATAAATACTCTGTATTAAAAAAAAAGTTGAAATGAGTGACACTACACACACACACACACACTCACTTAATCAAAACACAGTAGACATCCTGCCTCATCAGCAACTAAAGAGAAATGAAATGACAGCAGCTTACCAGATGGGAAAAGGTTAAAGTACCAGCTCCTCCTGTGGAGAGTGACATTATCTCCAGTGCTACTGGCAGGAGAGTCTCTGGGCCCTGTGTGTGGGTAGGGGAAGGTAGGTTGTTGACATTCATCGACACTTAAGCATTCTTACTTGTGGAAAGTCAAATCTCCTATGGAAATAAATGAGACGGGAGCAAAGTGAAGGCTCACGGGTGATCAAAGGATGACGCCTTCCCCATCTGCTGATTACTTCGAGCTGGAGGCTGGGGTTGGTGGGAGCAGTTGGCATGTGGGCCAGTCTGCCATACACACGGCTGTCCACGTGCCTGTGCCCTTCGAGAGGGAAGGTCAGCTGCTCTGTCTGGCATGAGGTCCACAGTCACATGGCTGACCTCATGCACCTCCTTTCTGCTCACAGCTGAGACTGGGTGAGGTGGTATTGGAGGATTTCAGAGCAGGATTGGAGGATCATGTGGGTCCCATTAGTTAGGGTGACTATTTCAGGCCTCGTGATGACAGCCAGGGGCATAGTATGCCAGACCTCATTGTCCTGAAATGTTATGTTCTAATTCTGCATTTCTTTTTTTTTTTTCCTCTTTTTTGGCAAGTCTGGGATTTGAACTCAGGGGTTTGCACTTGCAAAGCAGGCTTTTTACCGCTTGAGCCACATCTCCAGCCCATCTTTTTTTAATATTAAGTGAGATCATTAGGTATATTTTTTGTACTGATTGTCAAGCTGAAGTCAGTTTCCAGGCTCATTCAACAAGCATTTACTGTGAACCGTGTTCTTGAATGTCTCTGGCTTCATCCAGGGGCGCAGTTCTCAGTAAGCACAGGGACAGGTGGGGCTTCAGGCTCCACAGAGCAGTCACTGGGCCCCCCCACGTGAGGCTGTGAGCACTGGCCAACACACGTGCAGGTGCACACTCTCAGGTTTGATATCCAGCCCAGGGGGGGCCAGTATGGCAGAGGGGCTGCAGAGAGCCAGGTTTGTCAATGATGAGGGTAGGACAATGTACCCAGCATGGAGGCTTCAAGCCACATGGCTGCCCTTGATTTCTCACCTGCAGAAGGGTCCTCAGTGGCACCTACCTGTCCCACAAGGGACAGGTGACACTGGCTGGCAATGGGACATAGGTTATAAGCAGTCCATGGAGACTGTTCCCCAAACCTTGAATGAAACCCTCCTCCCCTACATGTACTCTCTGGACCCCTAAAGAAGCCTATTTTTGTGTTCTCTGTGCTGCTGTTGAGTGGCTCTGGCAGCAGGAGCAGACCTGGCTGTGCCCAGCCAAACTTTCAGATTCAGGGAAGTCAAGGCCAAAACTGGTAAGACAAATGCCAGGAGATGGCCTGTGTCTGGAAAGATGTTACAACTGGATGTTTTAACGCATTCCTTTCCAACTTTCTGTACTTCAGAGTGAGATCCTTTTGCTTATCTTTTTGGTTGCCTTCCTTCCTCTCCCTATAAGATGGTGGTTTGAACTTGGCTGTGATAAGAGCATTTACACCTTGGAAATAGGCACTCACCCAAATCAGGGCTTTGTTTTTGGAGAGCAGTGTACTGGCACATACTTCCCACCTCCTCCACCCTCAGAAAGGGCAGTTCATGGGGTATCTTTTTGAAAAATTTGTTTCTATTTTATTTCAGTTTTGTTTTTGTAGTGCTGAGGTTTGAACTAAGGGCTTTGTGTATACTCTACCACTAAGGGACTATAGTCCCTTGTTATTTTAATTGTGCATATTTATGAGTAGTGTGACAATTTAACATGTATATAATATGTAATTATCAAATCACGGTGCTGTATCATTCCCATACTCTTTGGTCATTATAAATGTATTGAAATATCACACCATAACGCATAAATATAAATATGTCAAATTATTTTTGTGTTAATCAAAAAAATTTGTTTCATTTTGCTGGGGTTTGAATTCAGGACCTCATGCTTGCTAGGCAGATGCTATACCACGTGAGGCAGGCCCCCATTACTAAAGCCCTTTTTGTTCTTTTTCTTTTTAAATGCCAAGATAAGAAACAACTTATTATAGAGAGAAGAAAAATTTCTCATCCAAAATACGGAAACCAGTACAACTTTGCCACAGTCAATATGAATTGTATAAATTTACACCAGTTCATAATTTACTAAATAAAGGGTGACTAACAAAGTTCACAAAATAGATGGTGGTTTGTGGAAAATACTTTTACCCAATTAAGTACAAGGAAAGTTACAAACTAGACCTCCACTTTCTAAAAATAGGAAGTTTACTCAGTCTTAGAAAACTGTAAATAAGCTAGCAGATGTACAGAGAGATGGCTGGTGCTAATACCACAGTTGAGACAGTGTCTTTTTAAAACCTGTTGTCAAGGCAGATTCTGGCCACTTCCTACTTTCAAAGCCAAAAACACAATGCAGGGTCTGACCATTTCCCCAGGTCATGCTTACTAGTTTATCTTCATGTACATTTATTCATATTTAAGTGCCAGGTAAAAGTCTTGTAAAATGTCCAGTACTACCATGTTTAAAACGTTGAACTTTCCTACTGAGCTGCTAAAAAGGTTATTGATAACAATTTCAAGTGTAATAGCGAAAATTCCTCTGCAGGATCTACTACAGAGAAGCATTCTTTGAAATACAGAATTTCCTTAAAGGGGCTGATATAAAAATTTAGAAACTGAACCCATCCTTGGACTTTGCTCCCTAGCAAATAAAGTGAACTCACAGGCTATTAAATCATTGAAAGATACTGTCCAAACTATGGTACTGTTACTTAAAAAAAAATTGTACCATTCTGTCTTCATAGCTATGACATGGTCCATCTCCAAAAGCAAAAATCAAATTTATCCATCCATTATCAAATAGTCCACTCACAGACTGTCTGTCATTGTATTGTGGTTTTAGAAGGGCTTGTTCTGCCCAAGAGAAGTTCCTCCTTAGAGCTGATTCTGCTGTCTGTCACTTCTGTTTTGCTGTTGTTTTGAGTGCGCCCTCCTGCTGGTGAGGCTTCAGACAGATGGAGCCATTCTTTCTGATTCTGTAGGACACTTTGTAGGGGTCAACCCAGAGTGTGAGTGCACTTGGGAGAAGTCTGAGGACTCATTTTATGGTTGATGCGAATACATCATGGTTTTTCTGGAAACCAGTGTTGTTTATAATGTTCTGCCAGCAGCTCCTGCATATTCTGGCTCCTTTCTGCTTTAGTTATTTTTCAAATAGGGTCTTGTATTTTTTTGCCCAGGCTGTCATAGACCATGATCCTCCACTTATGCCTCCCATGGAGCTGGGATTACAGGCGTGTACCACCACATACAGCTTTTTTGTTGAGATGTTGTCTCACTCACTTTTTGTCTGGCCTCAAATGCAATCCTCCTAAGTAGCTGGGATTTCCAGTAAAAAATTTTACGTTTAAGGCAGTGATGTTCTTTTCATCACAATTGAGATATCCCCGACCAGAGGAAGGGGCCCTCTTTTCAATATCTCTGAACCATGGACAAGGGTGAGATTCCTCTCCTAAAAATGGGGCCTGGGTGATAACTGTAAAGATTGTGTTTTGAAAAATTATGTTCTCTAATCTTTTAGGGAATAATGTATTATTTAGCAATTTTTAAAGCTAATACAGTTCAGCAACTTCATACAAGTTCTAGTATTTGAATGTACAAGATTCTTATCTTTTAGAAACTCAAGATTAAATACTGGAAGGGGCTTGCTCCCACCCTGAGTACCGTGAAGACAACTCTAAAAGCCAGGGAAGTTGGGCCTTTTAGGAAAGGCAGGTTATCTATGCAGCTTATGGCTGTGTGACCTGCAGCTGTGGATGGCCAATTCCTAGGAAGAAGCCTTTTGAGGGCTGGTCTTAGAGCAGAGCTTGAGACCTCATTATTGTGTTTGTCCTGAAGTCCAGGTGTACCTGTGCATCCACTGTGGAGTTGAAGGCTTGAGAGACATGTTTTAGGTGAGTGCAGTGGCTCACACTGTTAATCCCAGCTACTTGGAAGATGTAGATCAGAATGGTTGTTATTTTAGACCAGCCTTAGTAAAAAGTTAACAAGACCACATCTCAACAAACAGGCTGGATGTGGGTGGTGGCACACATCTATAATCTCAGCTATGCCAGAGGAATAGGTAGGAGGACCACAGGCCAACGCTGGCCTAGACAAAGAGCCTATCTGAAAAATAAAGAAAAACTGTGGGTGTGGCTTAAATGGTAGAGCTCCTGGCTAAGGTTGAGTTCAAACCCTATACCACCAAAAAAAAAGAATTAAAAAGACATTTTTATTCTCCAGGGTGCACAGGGAGGTAAGTTATGTCTGCTCCTTGTGACTCACCTTGAGGTGGCCTCCGCCCCATCACCTCAGTGATATCTCAGGGGCACTGGCACCTTAGGAGTCTGTGATGCAGGTGCCCTTTTAGGAGAAAGTCTAATATTTATTTATTTATTTTTATTTTATATTTTATTCACAGTACTGGATGGTTGAACTCAGGAGCTTATGCTTACAAGATAGGTGCTCTACCACTGGAGCCACATCTCCACCCCATTTTGCTTTGGTTATTTTTGAGATAAGATCTCACTTTTTCCTGGGCTGCCTGGACCATGATCCAGTTTTTTGTTTGTTTGTTTCCCCTTGTAGCTGGGATCACAGGCACATGCCACCATGCCCAGCTTTTTCCATTGAGATGGGGTCTCAATCAACTTATGTTTTTGCCCCATCTGCCCTTGAACCATGATCCTTCTGATCTCAGCCTCCCAAGTAGCTAGGATTACAGGCATGAGCCACTGTGCCCAACAAGATGACTTGAATTTAATCATGTTTTTAATGTAAGCAGCTGTGACTGAAATTGGACCTCACTGAGGGAGATTTTAAGCCTCACTTTGAGAAATTCTGTTTATATAATTTATATATATATATTTTTTGAGATACTGGGGCTTGAACTCAGGTCCTACACCTTGAGCCATTCCACCAGCCCATTTTTGTGATGGGTTTTTTTCAAGATAGGGTCTTGTGGAACTGTTTGCCCAGGCTATCTTCGAACCACATTTCTCCTGATCTCTGCTTCCTGAGTAGCTAGGAATACAGGTGTGAGCCACCAGCACCTGACCTAATTTATATTCTTATAAACTAAATCCAGGAGTTTTTTAGATTGTTTGAACTGTTGTACAAGTGGTGTTGATGTTGACTGTTCATCTTGTACATATTGGATAATACTTTTTCAAGGAACCTCCCCTAATAAAAGGCCAGATGCCAAAACAATATGACATCAGAGTTGAGTAGAGGATTCAAAACAGGCAGGCTTTGTGCTTGCAATGAGCTTCCTTCTGCTGCAGTGTCATTTATAGTGTTTGTATTGTGTGACTATGGAATATGCAGGAATCCAAAGACCTGATGATTCACTTATAAGTAATGAACTAGGGCATATGTCTGATGGGAATAAAACTGACTTGGATGAGTGACCCAGAGGTTCTCATGGAATGCTTGCTCTACAGAAGACTCTCCTGCGGGCATTACTAGTATTCTCTTTCCTGTAAGATAAGTAAGATTATCCCCAACTGAAGACACAGAGAAGCCAAGTGACATGGCTAGTGAACGTCAAGCCGGCTGTGGGCCTCTTGTTAGCAAGGCCAGATCCTCTGCATCAGATGTAGTCGGACAGCTGAGTCTTGAGCTGACCTGGGAAGCAGGCCGTCCACAGTACTTCCCTTCTTGGAGCCTTAACTATTTTAAATGCGGCATTTATACTTTGCCCTTCCCAGAAATAAAACCTCCTCCCCCTCCCTCTGAGTGGTTACATCGTATCTGCTGTGGTACTGCAGTCATATTGTCTCTGGGATGCACCACTTTTAAGGTTCGCCCACTCCACAAGGAAGTCAGACGCTCACGGATAGTGATGGGCTGGACCAACTGTCTATTGAGCTATGACTCTTCTGACAGTCACAGGCCCACAGCGGCAGCTCTGGGACTGAATGTTGGCACTTGTAACATAACTAGATTTCACTAATGATTTTCAAGTGGTTTTGGTTTGGTTTTTTGTTTTGTTTTGTTTTCCTGGTTGTTTTTCAAGCAGTGAACCTGTTATCAAGCAAAAGTCATACACAGAATCCCAGCATTTAGAGCATGGTGGTGGAGCTTTGAGCAGGGGATACAGGAGGAGGTTGTGTGACCTGATGATTTGTATGTGGTTCTTCAAAGTCTGGAGGGGTTAAGGGGTTGGCACCACACAGGCACCTGCCAGGGTCTCAATTCTTTGGTATTGTCCAGTGTGGTCACACTTAGATTCCTCATCACCACCCACATATCTGATGCCTTGCTAGAAGGACCCTCAGGGCCCAGAGTCAGTTATGCTTATGGCTCCAGTTTATTCAGCAAAGGACAAAGCAGGGTCCAAAAGGGGAAAAGACACATCAGATGGAGGCTGGAGTAGCCAGGCACAGGCTTCCAGAGTCTTCCCTCGGTGGGTTGCACAAGATTTTCAGTGTGTTTCTGCACAGGGAAAAGTGGCCACATGAACATTCAGATCAGAGGCATGCCACTTTTGTGACCACCCACGACTTTTGAAACCCCTAGAGAGAAAGCCATTATTACCGTAAATCATTCTGTTTACACAAATGACCTGGACAAGCTTATATAGCATGCTGGTGAGAGGTCCCAGGTTTAGAAAACCTTATCAGTCATTAATACAAGGAGCAGTTAGGGAGTAAGTTACCAGGAGCTTCAAGCAGGTCCTCCTGAAGATGTGTGGGAGCTGAGCAACTAGGTGCGCTGTGCTTTTTCCTGTACATGCTCTAATGTGGCTCTTGTGTATGCACATGAAATACCAAAGCCAATTATAAGGAAAAGGACCTAAAATTCAAAGTGGTAAAATGTTGACAACAGTGGACTATGGTAAATGATGTATATTTAATTAATACCTAGAGCAACCACTGAAAATATCTATGTGAAAACACACTCAAAAATAATACAGGTAAACCAAAATGGGATTCTAAAAATTTTCTTGGTGACCCACAGAAAGGCAGGAAGAATGAAACAGAGGAATGGAAAGCAAGGAACAGGCAGAAAATAAAGAGGAAAATAGTAGGCTTAAGTCCTACAACAGCAGTGATTACATTATGTGTGGATGTATTAAGTGTAATCCAAATACAGTGAAAAGACAGATTGGAGGAGTGGATTAAAAATTGTAATTTGGGACTGGGAGTGCAATTAGTCATAAAAAGTGTGCACAGCCTGCCCAAGGCCCAGGATTCAACCTTCAGTACCCAAAACAGTAGTGATGGATGATGGTGACGATGATAAAACTTGGCTCAGCCATATGCTATAGGTGAAAGTAAAAGAACAGAAAATACCATGTAAGCATTAATCAGAAGGAAACAGGAGTAGCTGTGTTAAGATCAAGTGCAGTTCAGAGCAGAGGACATTACCAGGGACATGTGAACAAAGGGTCAAACCACCAAGAAAACAGCAGTCCTAAATGTTTAGCATCAAACAACAGAGTTTTCATACTTAAAGCAAAAATGATAGAAATGAAAAGAGAAATGAACAGCTGCATACTTATACCTGAGGACTTCAGCTCTCCCTTCTGTAACTGGTACATATAGTAGACAAAATCAACAACAGTAGAGAAGGACTGAACCACACCATCAACCAGCATGGTGGGACTGACCCACAACCGTGTGTAGGGTGCACACTTTTTTCAAATGCCATCAAGCTTTCGCCAAGATAGACCATGTTCTGAGTCACAAAAGAAACTGCAACAAAATTAAAAGAATTGAAATAATGCCGAGTGTTCTTGACCACAAACTGGAAACCAGAAACAACAAAAAAGATTTCCAAGCACTTGGAAATTTAGCATGCTTCTAAATAATCCATGGATCAAAGAGGAAGTGTCAAGGGATTTTTTTTAAATACATTAAGCTGAATATGAGTGTAACATATCAAAATACATAGGATATTGCTGAAGAAGTGCTGAGGGGGAATCAATAACACTGAATGCTCACCATGGAGGTCTCCCTGCTCTCTGCACTGGTGTCCCCTCCTACATGAAATGCTCTCCTCACTTTCCTTGCCTTCTACCCTAAGGGACTACTCTTCCTAGCTCCTGAGCACTCTGCCTCCCTAAGTGGGCAACTTGCACTGCCCATCAGGTTTTGCTTTTGGACCTTCCATAAGTGGAAGACGTCCATACCAGTAAGGACAGTGTATTTTACAAGGAAAATCACTGGGTTTCTTCATCTAAGGGTGGTGTGTATGTTGAGTGCATCTTCATGCAGTGGACTTTCATCCATGTGTGCATAGGGACCATGTTGAAAACTGTCTCCTGTTCCCCAGGCCTTAAACCTGGCCTACTCCAGCATTTATGGCAGCTACCGGAACTTCGTGGGGCCACCACACTTCCAAGTCATCTGCCGGCTGTTAGGCTACCAGGGCATTGCAGTGGTCATGGAGGAGCTGCTGAAGGTTGTCAAGAGCCTGGTGAGTTTCCCTTGAAGGAGCTTCTCTCACAAGGCATGAATGCCCTGGGGCAGAACCAACTAGGGAGGCTTTGCTTTCTGCCTGGGGTGTGAGTCTCCTAACAGATGAATGACTAGTTTAGCTTCAAACAATTTTCATACATTGATGTCTCTCCCATTTTTCTTAATTCAAGAGAATGGATTCACAGAGTGCAGAAGAACACACCTGAGATCCAGCTGCTCAGGAAGCAGAAGCAGGAGTACTGCTTGAACTTAGGAGTTCAGGGCCAGTGTGGGCAGCATAGCAAGAACATGTCCCTTTAAAAAAAGGAAAAAAAATCGTGAAGACAGTGGATCTAAGTTACTTTAACTGATTCATAGAAAGTATTTAATAGCCAAAATACTGTTTTCCTTAGAATATTGCTCTTTATATGCAGAAGTCTGTGCCCACAGGCCAAGCACAGTGGCTCATGCTGTATAATCCCACTCACTTGGGAGGCAGAGATTAGAAGGATCACAGTAAAGCCAGCCAAGGAAAAAAAGTTAGTGAAACCCTATCTTAGCAAAAAATAAAAATAAAAAATAAACTGGGTGTGGTGGCATATTTGTATAATCCCAATGACTCAGGAGGTTTAGTAAGAGGATTCTGTGCAACCTAGTCCTGACAAAAGGAACACCTATCTAAAAAAGTAACATAAACCTTCCCCTTCCCCCCAAAAAAAGTCTCCCACCTGTAAAGGACTACCACTGTTGCCCCAGACTTGTAGAAGATGGAAGACAAGTCAGAAGCCAAGAGGCTGGGTTGGAGAGACCATGGCCTCAGTTTGCTTTCTCCCATCTTCTTGTGTTCCTGTGGTCAGATGTCTGGAAGGGCGCAATTCTACAAAGACTCCTGTTTCCATTTGTGAAATGCGAATATATATAAAACAGATTTTAAGGAAATATTTGTATTGGGGAAATGGAGTAGAATGTGTTTTCCATGAAGAACTGCAAGTCCTTAGAGATGCAGAGGTGTCATGGCGGATGAGCAGGAGTAACAGAAGGGGCCATGGCTCACAAAAACCACCGTGAGATGACTCCTGTTACATCAGAGGGGCTGGGTAGGGTTAATTAGTGAGGCTGGTGGTATATTAGACCTTTCACTGGATGGGCAAAGGTTACATAACATGACTAAACGATTCATGTGTGCAGGTATCTAACTTCAGACTGAGGTCAACTTGTGCATATGCCCATTGGTATAGGAACTGTATAGTCATTAGTTTGAAACAGAAAATGATATCCTTTGTAGGCGACTGTGGACTTTTTTTTTGTTCATTATTTCTGTTATTTATGAAGAGAACTTTAAAATCTTTAATCTTTTCTCTGTATTTTAATAATCTTTTGAGGTTCTGGGGATTGAACTCAGGGCCTAACGTATGCTAAGCAAGTGCTCTTCTACTGAGCTACACACCCATTCTTTCTTATTTTAACATTTTTTCTGTAAGTGAGTGCATTTCTTTAGGTTTTTTCATTGCCAACTGTAGATTTTCATGTTACCAAGATTTGTACTCTAGTCTGGGGGAAATTTGAAACAGAATTTGTGGCCATCTAATTAGAGCAGCAATCCACCAGGGATATGTTACAGTTATGAATTTAATATTAAAGCAGAGGCTGACAGAATTCTAAGAAGTTGATAAATCTACAGCTGTATAGGTCAAGATTAAAAATTAATTAAAATGTAAAGAGTTTTGGTCATTTGCACAGCTTACTCAGTCCCTGCCTCAACCCCAGCTGGGAATTCTGCCCTGAAATACTTGGTAAATTAGCAGTCATCAGGATTACTGACCTCACTGTGGCTGAGCACAAAAGTGACACCATCTAGCCTGGAAGCTGCACCACACCCATTAGAGGAATGCTGAAATCATCCTGTGGGAATGACGGTTCCTTGGAGTTGCTGGTACCCTTGATATTGACAATGCATCTGTGTAGGAGACATGTGGTGATCCAAGGTCTAATGCCCTCCTCCCTGTCACACACCGAGGCCACTTGCATCTTGGAAAGGGTGCTGTGTTTAGAGCATAAATTTAATCAGCTGTGTAAAGAGGTTGCTCTTTCCACATTTATGGCTGGGATTCCCCAACCCAAGTGAATCTTCAGTCTTGATCATTACTGTGTGTTTTACTAACAGACTTATTTTCAGAACACTAGCCACAGCCCTTCAGGAGAGCAGGCTGGTGGCTGACGGATCCTGTGTCTCTCACAGCTGCAAGGCACAATCCTGCAGTACGTGAAGACGCTGATGGAGGTGATGCCCAAGATCTGCCGCCTGCCCCGGCATGAGTATGGCTCTCCTGGTGAGTGGGTGTCTCCCCTCGATGTGGTGGAGCCCATGATGGCACTAGGGACAGGAGGGAAAGGCCAGCCCCTAGACCATAACAGAGGAAATCAGGGTGGAATTTATGGAGAAGAATTAGATTTTCCTTCCCTGAGAAGAGATAAGGATGCCCAAATCAGAGCTTGCTTGTTCAGAGTAGATCAAACAAGTGAAGCTTACAACTGGGAAGCAGGCAAGTGTGAGGGAAGGTGTATTGGAAGTCACTGTTGGCAGATGAGGAAGTTGAAGAACCCCATAGCAGCCAGCGAGAGTTAGACATTGAGGGGTAACAGGTCTTTGTCCCCAAATCTTCCATAAAAAAATTCACCCACCAAAGAGGGCAAGGAATCTGACTCCCAGGCCCTACTGCCCTCCTGGGCTTAATGGGGACTAATCCTCAGAGGCAGCCACATAGAAAGGATCCTGGTCCTGCTTCTTTCCCCTGCTTCCTGCTACTCTTCCTACCTCTAGACCTCTGGTAAACATTTCCCCCCTGGTTCTATCCCGTCCTGCTTATAGGCTCCTAGGGCATTGAGCTGAGCCAGTCCACATGGCTTACTGCAGATCAATCTTGGACTATCCAAATAAATACCTAATGGATCTCCAGAATATTACTTCATGATAAAACTGGGCTGTAGGAACCTTTGTCACTTTTTCTTTCTCTTTTTATTATATTTATATGTGCATACAATGTTTGAGTCATTTCTCCCCACTTCTCCCTGCTCCCTCCCTTACCCCCTCTTCCCCCCACCACCCCCTCGCTACCAGGCAGAAACTATTTTGCCCTTATCTCTACTTTTGTTGAAGAGAGAGTATAAGCAATAATAGGAAGGACCAAGGGTTTTTGCTGGTTGAGATAAGGATAGCTACACAGGGAGTTGACTTGCATTGATTTCCTGTGCATGTGTGTTACCTTCTAGGTTAATTCTTTTTGATCTAACCTTTTCTCTAGTTCCTGGTCCCCTTCTCCTGTTGGCCTCAGTTGCTTTAAAGTATCTGCTTTAGTTTCTCTGCGTTGAGGGCAACAAATGCTATCTAGATTTTTGGGTGACTTAGCTATCCTCATACCTCCGTTGTGTGCTCTCGCTTTATCATGTGATCAAAGTCCAATTCCCTTGTTGTGTTTGCCCTTGATCTAATGTCGGCATATGAGAGAGAACATACGATTTTTGGTCTTTTGGGCCAGGCTAACCTCACTCAGAATGATGTTCTTCAGTTTCATCCATTTACCAGCGAATGATAACATTTCGTTCTTCTTCATGGCTGCATAAAATTCCATTGTGTATAGATACCACATTTTCTTAATCCATTCGTCAGTAGTGGGGCATCTTGGCTGTTTCCATAACTTGGCTATTGTGAATAGTGCCGCAATAAACATGGGTGTGCAGGTGCCTCTGGAGTAACCTGTGTCACATTCTTTTGGGTATATCCGCAAGAGTGGTATTGCTGGATCAAATGGTAGATCAATGTTTAGCCTTTTAAGTAGCCTCCAAATTTTTTTCCAAAGTGGTTGTACTAGTTTACATTCCCACTAGCAGTGTAAGAGGGAGGAACCTTTGTCACTTAAAATGGCCTTTTATCTCATAGTGTTCTTTTGAAAGCTGGTATATGAATTACTTTTGTGTTACTGTGACCAAATACCTGAGAAAAGCAACTTAAGGGAGGAAGAATTTATTTTGATACATGGTTTCAGAAGGCTCCATCCTTGCTACTTGCCTCTGTTTTGGGCCTGTTTTGTGAGGTAAAATATCATGGTGGTTTGAGTGTGTGAAGGAGGAGGCTATTTACTTCATGGTAGACAGAAAGCAGAGAAATTCAGAATGTGAGGAGACTCTAAGGCAAGATGTAGCCCCCAAGGCCTACCACCCCAGCCAGCTATTTCCTCCAACGAGGCCCCATCTCCTACCTTTCACAGCCTCCCAATAATGCCATCTTGTAAATCTATCACAAGATTAATCCATTCTTTAGGGTTAGGGTTATTTAAATTCAAGATCCATTTTGAGTTAGTTCTTGTACCCATGAGGTGTGGGTGGAGGTTCATTTATAAACCTGTGACTGTCCAGTTACTCCAGCTCCACTTACTGAAAAGACTATCCATCTCTCTTCTATTGCTTTTGTTCTTCTTAAAAAGTTAATTGGAGATTCTCTGTTCTGTTCCATTGACTACATGTCTATCTCTCCACCACTGCCAGACTACCTTGAATACTGTAGGTATATCGCAAATGTTCATATTGAAAAGAGTGACCACATGTTTCACTTAATTCACTATTTCAAAATTGTTCTGGCTATTCTGCGGGCTTTGTCTTTCCACATATATTTTAGTATACCCTTCTAGTCCATGAATATGGGTACAACTCTTGATTTATTTTGATCTTCTTTGATTAAAAAGATTCATCACATTGATCCCGTACATATTTTGCTAAATTTTTACAGTTTATTTTTACACTAACTTTATAGTGTTTCATTTCCTTTGGAGCAATTTTTTAATGGTATAGAGTTTTCATTTATTCTTTGTCAGTACATATAAATGCAATTATTATTTGTATGTTAATCTTGTGTCCCATTATTTTGCTGAACTTACTAATTGTAGGAGTTTTTGTTTTATTAAAAATATAATCCTTCAGGTTTTATATGTAGACTTTATGTTGTTTGTAGTGGGGGCTGTTTTATTTCTTCCTTTCTGATCTGTTTTTTTAAAATTTCATTTATTGCCTTATTGCAGTGGGTAAAAAGAAGGTGATGAGAGTGGATATCTTTGCCTTGTTCCCAACTATAAAGGGGAAGTCTTCAGACTTCTATCATTAAATAAGATATTAGCTGTGAATGTTTTGTAGGGGCTGTTTATGAGATTGAGGAAATTCCTTTCTTTTCCTATTAGACTGAGAATTTTTGCAATCTTCAGGTGTTGACTTTTGGCAATGCCTCTTCTGTGTCAAGAGATATGATTATATAGTTTGTCTTCATTAGCTGTTTGATGGATTATGTTGAATTTATTTTAGAATATGGGACCAATGTTGTAATACTGGAATAAATCTTTTTTTTCCCTAATGTACTTATTACAGTAATTCAGTTTTGTCAGCACTGCTTTAGCTTTATCCTACAGATTTTGATTTTGATCTATTGTATTTCAGTTTCATTTAGTTTTTTTCTATTAAGTTTTTCCTTCAGACTTCCTCTTTGATTCATAAATTACTTAGACATACTTTGTGTATTTAATATATTCTTTACTTTTTGCATTTTTTGAGATGAAGTCTCTCACTATATTGCCCAAACTGGCCTCACACTCATGGGTTCAAGAGTTTCTCAAACCTCAGTCTCTAGAGTAGCCCAATACAGGTATACACTGCTACTCCTGGCTTAGCCTTATGTTGTTTGAGTTCTAAATGTTTTCCTGTTGTGTTTCTCTTATGAAATTATAGCTTGACTCACTTATTATGGTCAGAGCACTTACTCTATATTCAGTTCTTTAAATTTGTTAATTTTTTTAGGATCCAGGTTTATAGGTTGTCTTTGATAATATTTTGTAGGCTTCAAATAATATGACTTTTTCTATATTATAACACTAGTGCAACTTGAAAATAGAGATGGTGAGCATTTTTTCATGTGTTTTTTGGCCATTTGAATTTCTTCTTTTGAGAAAGTTCTGTTTAGTTCACTTGCCCATTTCTTTATTGGTTCATTAGTTTTGGGAGAATTTAGTTTTTTAAGTGCCCTATATATTCTGGTTATCAGTCCTTTGTCTGATGTATAGTTGGCAAATATTTTCTCCCACTCTGTGGGTGTTCTCTTCAGTTTAGAGACCATTTCTTTTGATGAACAGAAGCTTTTTAGTTTTATGAGGTCCCATTTATCTATGCTATCTCTTAGTTGCTGTTCTGCTGGGGTTTTGTTGAGAAAGTTCTTACCTATACTTACTAACTCCAGAGTATTTCCTACTCTTTCCTGTATCAACTTAAGAGTTTGGGGTCTGATATTAAGATCATAGATCCATTTTGAGTTAATCTTGGTATAGGGTGATATACATGGATCTAGTTTCGGTTTTTTGCAGCCTGCTCACCAGTTTTCCCGGCAGTTTTTGTTGAAGAGGTTGGATGTTGAATTTATCAAATACCTTGTCTGTGTCTGCTAGAGATGACTCTGTGGTCTCTCTTTTGTTCTTGTCGAGTGATGACATTTCCTATCTTCATACCTTTCTCTGAAGATAAGGGATTGATGAAAAATATGTCAGCGCCTAGGCACAGGGCCATGTGGTCTGTGAAGGGCATGCCCAGGTGGCTAACAAACTGTTCAGGGTAAATGTTGGGAATGGGTTGTTGTGGCTGTCCGTATAACCAGGCACAGTGGCAATGTCAGAATGGCAGGTGCTCCCTACTGCTACTCCTCAGATGCTAGTGCTGTGCCTTTCTAGCTCCCCCACCAAACCTCAAACTCCGTTCTGCTGCCACAGGCATCCTGGAGTTTTTCCACCACCAGCTGAAGGACATCGTGGAATATGCAGAACTGAAGACAGTGTGTTTCCAGAACCTGCGGGAGGTGGGGAACGCTGTTCTCTTCTGCTTGCTCATTGAGCAGAGCCTGGTGAGTACTCAGCCCAACCCACCCAGGTGTGCCAGTGTTAATCCCTACTGCTGTTTTTTATTGGGAGTTTTTTAATGGGCCTGTGTCGGGGGGTAGTGTTACAAAACACCATTCTTTTTTCATGGCTGTTTTTTCAGAATTTGTTCCCTACAATTGAATAACAAAAATGTAATATAGTTTATTGTTTCAAGAATGTTTTTGTTAGGCTGATAATATAGCTTAGTGGCAGAGCACTTGCCTAAAATGCATGACACCCTGGGTTTGATCCTCAGCACCACCAAAAAATATTTTTCTATGTAAACATTGTAAACATGTTTTCTGTGACAGCTAAACATACACAACATTGCTGCCCCGAATACTCTGCTGCGATGGAACGTTGAACACTGCTGAGCACGTGAAGTGTGGTTCAGCGTGACCAAGGAAGTGATTTTTATGTTTAATTGAATTTTAATTAACTTAAATAGCTACTTGTGGTAGACAACATAGGTAGATGGCATAAATAGATGAACATCTTGGAGCCTACCATAGTTGAAGAAATCACATAGTGGAACACCTCCCTTTCTTGACTGGTTGCCTTCTTGAGGTGTCACTTAGACTGCTACTCTGTTCCCTGTTCTTCATGTCAACTGACAGTTTGTGATCTGAACTGGAAAACCTGTAAATGTTGAGTGAATCTTATGGCCCTGTTCTGCTTTTCCCATGTGACTGTTCGTTGACTCTTCTTGTTTGTCTTTCTGTTAAATATGTCTTGGCTTGTTTGCCTATTTCTGACAGCTCATTTATGAAAATTCATTGTGTTTCCTTGATGTCTTGACACATTGTTTTTGGCTTGTCTTTTCCCTCTGATAGTGGTGACTTTTTAACAAAATGCTCAATTTGAATGTATTCTCGCTCTTTTTTTTTTTTTTGTAGTTCTGGGGAGTACCACTGAGCTACACCCCCAACCCAAATGTAGTCTTTTTTTATGGTTATCACTTTTTATATCTTTTTAAAGATGTTTTTCCTTAACTAGGCGTCATCAAGATATTTTCTTATATTCTTCTCTAAGGTTAAATTATGTTGTCATGCTTGTTAAAGCTTTCACATGTCTTGATACCTGACAAGACACATCCCATTATCTTGTTTCTCTTCATGGCACCTTTCCATGGCTCTTATCTCTGCCCTGTAAGTTGCAGAATTGGTTTGCCAAACTTACTGGAAATGAATGTTGGCATATTGATGGAAATTCATTTCATTTCTATCTAGGGAGGCTTTTGTGGTGGTGGCTTTGTAAATCAGTCTTTTGTCTTCAGGACCCTGGTGCCTTTGCACCTTCACTTCTGGAAGGACAGGCCCAGGATGCCCTGTGTACACTATAGAACATGTCGACGAGACTGCAAGGCCTCTAGGGGCTGACCTTTTGGACCAGCTATCTTTTACCAGCCAAGAAGAAAAAAAAAAAAGTGTGTGTTGTTGGCTCCCATGTCAGGGTAGTCCAGGGTCAAGCATGGACTAGACAGCCTCCAAGGGAACCTGTGTCTTTTAACCTCCCCCTCTTTTCCTGCACTGCTAGGCAGACTCTTTCCACATGGTGGCAAAAGGGGACTGCAGCAGCCCTGGGCCCTCATTGTCCTCACCAATCATGGATTCAGTGGGGACCCCAAGTGAGCAATTCCCATCAGGCTGTCCTGCCCATAGTGAGACATTTCCATCATCCCAGAGAATTCTATTAACAGAATGTTTATTTTACACCAAATGGCAAAGATGTACCTTGTTTTCAGCTCCTGATTTCTCTGTCCGTTTTTGCTATGAGTGACACTTCTGAATCTGACCTTGTCTTTCTCTGCACTAGTCTTTGGAAGAAGTGTGTGACCTGTTGCATGCAGCTCCTTTCCAGAACATTTTGCCGCGAGTCCATGTAAAAGGTGAGCCTGTGTGTCCCCAATCCAGAGTTCAGATTGCCCTCTGCAGAGTTGTGTTCAATCTGGGCAACCAGAGAGAGAGCTGAAGGCCAGTATTGGATGTGACTTTTGTGCCTATTTAGTCATCCAGTCATAACTGGTGATCACCGGAGGGGCACGTGTAACCTAATTAAAATGAGGTCTAGGATTTGCTTCAAAATAGCATGAAAACAGGAAGGTGAGCATGTACAAACCAAGAATGACCTTGGTGCTCCTTACCTATTGTCCACTGAGAAAACTGGATGATAGGTAAAGGGACCATTATGCTCTTTTACTACTTTAGATCACATTTGGATATTTTAACAAGTTTTTAAAAAATGAAATTGAGGACTGTAAGTGTGGTTCAAGTGGTAGAGTGCCTGCTTAGTAAGTGCAAAGCCCTGAGTTCGAGCCCCAGTAACACCAAAAAAAAAAAATGACTACTGAACAAAATTTGTTCTCAGATTTTGTTATTTGTTCTTTTGGCTCTTTTTGTTTTGGCTGTTTATAGCCTGAAAGAGCTACATTAGTCCCAAGTTGAAATCAGATCCCAAATGGATACATTATACAAGCAAACCTGTCAGTTTGAGTTAAAATATCAAATGAGCTGGTTCTGTAAAACACTACTTCCAAAAGAATCTGTACCCATAATGTTACCTTAATCTTTTGTTTCCTTAACAAGATAAAGCTTTTGCAGTTGTTTCATCCTACAAAAGAGCAAAGTATAATAATTTTTTTCCACTGCAGAGGGGGAGAGACTTGATGCCAAAATGAAAAGACTGGAGTCCAAGTATGCCCCGCTACATCTTGTCCCATTAATTGAAAGGCTGGGGACCCCACAGGTAAAGTCTGCTGTGTTTGCTGTGGATTTCAAGCTGTGTGTCTACATCAGGCCATTGGCAGGGTTGGGAACAATCCAGAAGGTATCGTGGGGTCTAAAAGGCTGCTCAGCCATTCAGATCTCTGTCCCCAGTGTGGTCCATTGCAGGACAACTTCACAGAGTGGGTGTGAAGTTTAAATGACCAAATAGATGAAAAGGGGATAGCACTTTACTTGGCAACAAAGACATACACAATAAATGTCACTTGTCAGCCATCCCTTCATGAGAAGGCTTTTGCATAGGGTTTATTTTTTTTTCTTAAACAAAAAAAAAAAAAATTGAATGAGAGGCAGGGTTTACGGGCAGAGTTCTATAATTCTATATCAGCTTACATGAGATCGGCTTACTCAAACTCAGCACCGTTGCCATTTTGGACCAGATCATTCTTTGTGGTGGGAAATGTCTTGTGAATTGTAAGATTTTTAGTCTTACATCCCTGGCCTTTACCCACAACTTACCCCATGTTGTGACAGTCAGAAATGTCTCTGGACATTATCAAATGTGACCTGGAGGCAGTCACTCGCAGTTAAGGACAGCTGTACTTGATTCCTCTTGACTATGAAGTATATTTATTCTTGTAAGGTGTACAGGTGATTGCTGACATATTTAGTTTGTTGATGCTTGAACTCTTCTTCTGTTAAGAAACAGAAAGTAAACATAAACAGCACTAGTTTTGTTTTAGCCCTCCAGCATCCTGCCATAAGCCTGTAACACCCTACCACTTTGATTTCTGTAGCAAATTGCAATTGCAAGAGAGGGGGACTTGCTCACCAAGGAGCGGCTGTGCTGTGGCCTGTCTATGTTTGAAGTCATCCTGACACGAATACGGACCTTTCTGGATGACCCCATCTGGCGTGGGCCTCTGCCCAGCAATGGGGTTATGCATGTGGATGAGTGTGTGGAATTTCACAGGCTGTGGAGTGCCATGCAGTTTGTCTACTGCATTCCTGTGGGGACACACGAGTTTACGGTGGAGTAAGTGTGTGCTCAGTGTTGATTCTTTGGAACACGACAGAGTTGCAGTGGAGGTGGACGAGCTGGTGGGGGAGATGGGGGTGAAAGCAGTGTAAGGCCAACACAACCAAGTTCTTCTGGAAAAGTATCAGACACTGAATTGCTTTAATAGAAAGCGGGGCTTCTTATGTGATGCCAAAGAGGACTGAAGACTCCCAGAGTCCCCCCCCCCCCCCCCCCCTCCCCCCCCCCCCCCCCCCCCCCCCCACCCCCCCCCCCCCCCCTCTGAAACCCCATAGCACCTCAGTGCCAATTGGGAGTGCGTGTTTCTCCGTGGCAGGTCCATAAATTCATTCTTCACAGAATGTCTGTGATCTAGAAGAGATTAGGAAACAGCATGCCAGAGGAACCCAAAACAGAAATTTACCAAAAATAGGAAAATTCACTGTCTGCTCAGCATTGTCGGCTGGGGAGGGTGACTGGGTGAAGAAAGCAATGCTGATAGATGCTTTGTCTTTGGCCTCCAGAGGCCAATTGTTTATGGAAGACTTCCTGGTTGTTTATCACCTCCCGTTGTCTTGTTCTGCTTTCGGCTCGTAGGCAGTGTTTTGGCGATGGGCTCCACTGGGCTGGCTGCATGATCATCGTACTTCTTGGCCAGCAGCGGCGGTTTGCGGTGTTGGATTTCTGCTATCATCTACTAAAGGTCCAGAAACATGATGGCAAAGATGAGATTATCAAAAATGTGGTATGTGGACAAAGATCTTCTGCCATGTGTGGATGTTTTGCAAAAATTATCCTTTTTATTAAAAGTTCTTTTCATCCTAATATATAAAGTTCCAATAACTGAAACTTTTCATACCAAAAGTGAATCTAAATATAATTGGCAAAGCAGTCTGAAAGATTAAAAAAATATATAACTGTTCCATCTTATTCCTCTTTTCAAGGTACTTAGATGTATTTTGTATCTTACTCTACAGAATCTGCATTTTCAGACCGTTCCAGTCATCTGGCTTCCAACTTAGAGTGTGCTTTCTCTTTTTTTTGGCTACTTCTAAAATCTTTTTGTCTTTGTCATTTTGTGGATTCCTTATAGTTGAATTCTAGAAAATATCCCGTACCTTTTCAAATATTTTGTCCTTTGTTTCATTGTATCATCTTCTTTTGGGGCTTCACTTGCATTCTCCATTTTTGTTTACCCTGTTATATTAGTTTTCTCTTGCTCCCATAACCAGTCACCACAGGCTTAATGATTAAAAAAAAAAAATCAAAACACCAGCATTAGCTAGTGTTCACAGAGCTCAGCTTGGCCCCCTGCTTATAGTCAGTGGTACTGTATTCCACCTGAACACCTAAAGGATGAATCTGCTATCAGGCTAATTCAGATGTTCGCTGAATTCAGCTCCATGCCCCCAACAACACGCCCCCCTTCCAACAACAGTGAGTTGAGCCACCTCAGCTCGTAATGGTGCCAACGTTCCATCTGCCACTACTTCCCCACCTCCAGCTAGAAAAAAGTTCTCTGCTCATATGATTATTCTGGGTCTACCTGGACAACGCAGGGTACTCTGCCTGTCTTCAAAGTCCATAACCTTAACTGTATCTGCAAAGTCCGTCTTGTAAGGTAACATTATTAAATGCCAGGGATTGTGGACATCTGAGGAGCTATTCTAGCTTCCACACCTCCATTTCCTTGGCTCTCTGGGCTGTATCCAAAGTATTTCTTCAGATATGTCTTTTGGGTAACTAATTCATTTATATTGAGTCTGTTTTTACTCTAAGAAATAATTTTTTTTTTCATTTTTTTTTTATTATTCATATGTGCATACAAGGCTTGGTTCATTTCTCCCCCCTGCCCCCACCCCCTCCTTACCACCACTCCACCCCTCCCGCTCCCCCCCTCAATACCCAGCAGAAACTATTTTGCCCTTATCTAATTTTGTTGTAGAGAGAGTATAAGCAATAATAGGAAGGAACAAGGGTTTTTGCTGGTTGAGATAAGGATAGCTATACAGGGCATTGACTCACATTGATTTCCTGTGCGTGGGTGTACTTCTAGGTTAATTCTTTTTGATCTAACCTTTTCTCTAGTTCCTGGTCCCTTTTCCTATTGGCCTCAGTTGCTTTAAGGTATCTGCTTTAGTTTCTCTGCGTTAAGGGCAACAAATGCTAGCTAGTTTTTTAGGTGTCTTACCTATCCTCACCCCTCCCTTGTGTGCTCTCGCTTTTATCATGTGCTCAAGTCCAATCCCCTTGTTGTGTTTGCCCTTGATCTAATGTCCACATATGAGGGAGAAATACGATTTTTGGTCTTTTGGGCCAGGCTAACCTCACTCAGAATGATTTCTCCAATTCCATCCATTTACCAGCGAATGATAACATTTCGTTCTTCTTCATGGCTGCATAAAATTCCATTGTGTATAGACCACATTTTCTTAATCCATTCGTCAGTGCTGGGGCATCTTGGCTGTTTCCATAACTTGGCTATTGTGAATAGTGCCGCAATAAACATGGTGTGCAGGTGCCTCTGGAGTAACAGTCTTTTGGGTATATCCCCAAGAGTGGTATTGCTGGATCAAATGGTAGATCGATGTCCAGCTTTTTAAGTAGCCTCCAAATTTTTTCCAGAGTGGTTGTACTAGTCTACATTCCACCAACAGTGTAAGAGGGTTCCTTTTTCCCCGCATCCTCGCCAACACCTGTTGTTGGTGGTGTTGCTGATGATGGCTTTCTAACAGGGGTGAGGTGGAATCTTAGTGTGGTTTTAATTTGCATTTCCTTTATTGCTAGAGATGGTGAGCATTTTTTCATGTGTTTTTCTGGCCATTGAATTTCTTCTTTTGAGAAAGTTCTGTTTAGTTCACTGCCCATTTCTTTATTGGTTCATTAGTTTTGGGAGAATTTAGTTTTTTAAGTTCCCTGTATATTCTGGTTATCAGTCCTTTGTCTGATGTATAGCTGGCAAATATTTTCTCCCACTCTGTGGGTGTTCTCTTCAGTTTAGAGACCATTTCTTTTGATGAACAGAAGCTTTTTAGTTTTATGAGGTCCCATTTATCTATGCTATCTCTTGTTGCTGTGCTGCTGGGTTCATTGAGAAAGTTCTTACCTATACCTACTAACTCCAGATTTCCTACTCTTTCTGTATCAACTTTAGAGTTTTGGGGTCTGATATTAAGATCCTTGCCATTTTGAGTTAATCTTGGTATAGGGTGATATACATGGATCTAGTTTCAGTTTTTTGCAGACTGCTAACCAGTTTTCCCAGCAGTTTTTGTTGAAGAGGCTGCTATTTCTCCATCGTATATTTTTAGCTCCTTTGTCAAAGATAAGTGCTATAGTTGTGTGGCTTCATATCTGGGTCTCTATTTGTTTCCACTGTCTTCATGTCTGTTTTGTTGCCAGTACCATGCTGTTTTTATTGTTTATTGCTTTGTATATAGTTTGAAGTCAGGTATTGTGATACCTCCTGCATTGTTCTTTTGACTGAGTATGCCTTGGCTATTCGTGGGCCTCTTGTGTTTCCCAGTAGATTTTTCAATCTCTTTAATGAATGTCATTGGAATTTTGATGGGAATTGCATTAAACATGTAGATTACTTTTGGGAGTATCGACATTTTTACTATGTTGATTCTACCAATCCATGAGCATGGGAGATCTCTCCACTTTCTATAGTCTTCCTCAATCTCTTTCTTCAGAAGTGTATAGTTTTCCTTGTAGAGGTCTTTCACATCTTTTGTTAGGTTTACACCTAGGTATTTGATTTTTTTGAGGCTATTGTAAATGGAATTGTTTCATACATTCTTTTTCAGTTTGCTCATTGTTAGTGTATAGAAATGCTAATGATTTTTCTATGTTGATTTTATATCCTGCTACCTTGCTATAGCTATTGATGTCTAGAAGCTTCTGAGTAGAGTTTTTTGGGTCTTTAAGGTATAGGATCATGTCATCTGCAAATAGGGATATTTTGACAGTTTCTTTACCTATTTGTATTCCTTTTATTCCTTCTTCTTGCCTAATTGCTCTGGCTAGGAATTCCAGTACTATGTTGAATAGGAGTGGAGATAGTGGGCATCCTTGTCTGGTTCCTGATTTTAGAGGGAATGGTTTCAGTTTTTCTCCGTTAAGTATAATGCTGGCTGTAGGTTTGTCATATATAGCTTTTATAATGTTGAGGACTTTCCTTCTATTCCTAGTTTTCTTAGAGCTTTTATCATGAAATGATGTTGGATCTTATCAAAGGCTTTTTCTGCATCTATTGAGATGATCAAGTGGTTTTTGTCTTTGCTTCTGTTAATGTGGTTTATTACGTTTATTGATTTTCGTATGTTGAACCACCCCTGCATCCCTGGGATGAAGCCTACTTGGTCGTGGTGAATAATCTTTTTGATGTGTTGTTGAATTCGGTTTGCCATTATTTTGTTGAGGATTTTTGCATCAATGTTCATTAAGGAGATTGGCCTATAGTTCTCCTTTTTGGAGGTGTCTTTGCCTGGTTTTGGGATAAGTGTAATACTGGCTTCATAAAATGTGTTTGGCAGTTTTCCTTCCCTTTCTATTTCGTGGAACAGTTTAAGGAGGGTTGGTATCAGTTCTTCTTTAAAGGTCTGATAGAATTCAGCAGAGAATCCATCAGGTCCTGGACTTTTCTTTTTGGGGAGACTCTTGATTGCTGCTTCAATTTCATTTTGTGTTATAGGTCTAACCTGTGTCACAGTATTTTGGGTATATCCCCAAGAGTGGTATTGCTGGATCATATGGTAGATCTATGTTTAGATTTTTAAGAAGCCTCCAAATTTTTTTCCAGAGTGGTTGTTTGCATTCCCCCCAGCAGTGTAAAAGGGTTCCTTTTTCACCACATCCTTGCCAACACCTGTTGTTAGTGGTGTTGCTGTGAGTTCGTATTCTTTATCCAGCTTTATCATAGTAGGACGGTCTGTCAAAGATACTGTCCATAATATTACCAAACTGGAAGTCTAGAGCTTGTATTTTATTAGTTTACTGGTTTTCCCCTACTGAACATATTGACTTCATCTTTATATTCCCAGTTTCTGGCACACAGTAAGTTCTTAATAACTGTTTGTTGAGTGAATATACCTGTAAGTTTTACAAGTCCACACTTAGCAGCGTGAAATGGACAGAGAAATACATTTAAATTGAAAGTATTTTCATTGTTATAATAATGGTATTTTTAACATGGTATGCATGTAAATAGTTTGGCTACAATTTTTCTGAGAAAATATGAAAATCCTGACATTTTGAAACACGAAAAATAAATGTACAAGTGTTGATAGTAAATGCCCTGGTGTGTTATAGCCTTTGAAGAAGATGGTGGAAAGGATTCGCAAGTTCCAGATTCTTAATGATGAGATCATCACTATCCTGGACAAATACCTGAAGTCAGGTGACGGGGAGAGCACTCCTGTGGAGCACGTGCGCTGCTTCCAGCCACCCATCCACCAGTCTCTGGCCAGCAGCTGAGGAAAGGACCAAGCTCACAGCATTTAGTAACTCTGATGGCATGTTTATCTTTCCAAAACTATTTAGCAAGATTTTTAGGGACTGTTTTTCAGTATCTCTCTACCTGTTCAAGGAGGTGCTTTTTGATCTAAGAGCTTTTATAAAATTGACTTATTTTTCTAGACTAAACTTGTATATGCTTTTGGTAATTAGAAGTCTTGAGATTGGCTGCTGGTGATTGTTTGCCTTCATATTCTTAATAAAATTATTTTCATTTTCATAAGGAATGTTCCCTGCAGCTAGCTATGTCATAAGATGCTGCTGAGTTCATTCCTTTATCCCTTAAAACTTAATACCAGCTAACTGTACTAAAATCCTGTACCCATTACTATTAAACTTAGTAGCTATTTAGCTTTTATTTAGGGTTTTTTCTGATGGTCTTTTATGAACAGTCTAAGTCATTGTCTCTGTCCCTCTGTGTTTTAGAACATAATGAACTTGATTCCTCTGCTTCCACTAAATTCAATTGTGACAAAATCTAACTTGTGAGGGATGAATTAAAGGTTAGAGAAATAAAACCAGTGAAACCTATTTGTATTCATTTATTTACTACAACTTATCCTGGTTGGCTTCAGCAGGGTGCCTTCTCCAATTATTTAGGTTCAGACTGGGTTCAAGTCAGGATCTGTGTTGCCCCCAGGATTCTGAGGTGGAACAAGATCATGATATCTTAAAAGATGCTATGCTTTTCACCAGCACACACATTTTATATTTAGGCTTCAGCAAGGATGAAATGAAAACCAGGCCAATGAGAACAAAACAAATGGCTGTGTTGGCTGTTCCATTCTGGATGTGAAGGAGGGACACTAAGTGCCTTTATGTTATGTGCTCCCATGAACCATGGCCAGCAGTTTGGGGAGACTGGCCTGGGACAGTATGCAATGCACAAAAATGACTGAGGAGAACTTGAGTCCTGTCCATAACAGCCCTGCAATGTCTTTCCCAACTGCTGGGTGAGTTATGAGGCTGGAGTTGGTCAGATTTGGTTACTACTAGACTTACCAAAAGAGATAAAATGGTTAAGAATGAAGAGCCAGGTATGTGGCATGCACCTGTATCCCCAGCTACACAGGGGCTGAAGCGGGAGGATCACTTGAGTCCAGGCAATCAAGGCCAGCCAGGCCAACATAGAAACTTCATCTCAATAAAAAATAATAATTGTGTTACTAGGCTGGGGAACAACTAAGTCAGGGAGTCAAGAATGATATAGAAAATAAAGTGTATGAACTAATAATAAATAGTATGAACTATTCTGTTGTACTATTAACCTGAGTTACATGATGTTTAACAGAACTATTATGAAAAGTTATATTAAAATGTTTTTGGTGATATGAATTAATAACCCTGGGCTATTAATTCTGCTACAGATTAAAAGAGTAGTGTATGTGTTAACACTGTAAAGTACAAAATAAAAGTGACTTTAGTGACTGTATTACTCATAGGTTTAATGATATGCCAAAAAAATACTATATACACTATTCCAAGTGCTATAAAATGTTTGTTAGATAATGAAGAATGTGTTAATGTCAACCTGTGCATTCTCAGTGAGGACTCTCATCCCTAAGAGGGTGAAAATTGGTTTTATGTGCAAAGCAAAATATAGATACAGTACATAAAGATACATATCTGTGAAAAAATTAGAAATAAAATAGACCTGTGCTATTAAAATTACATGGGCGGGTTAGGGGGTGTAGCTCAGTGGCAGAGCATTTACCTAGCATTATGCAAGGTCTGGTTTTGAGTCCCACCCCCCCTCCCCATACCAGAGGTGGCAGTCAGGAAGAAATGCAATAGCTCCTTTGAGTGCCAGTAAGAAATCAAAGCCGGAAAAAGAAATTTGTTCATGAAACTTGGAAACTTAACCCTAATGTGAGGCTAATGGAGAGCTGCATGGAACATCAGCACTACTGCTGTGAGAGACTGGGTGGCTCAACTCTGATGAGCCACCATGCAGCCCAGGCAGGAGCAGCAATCAGGGACAGGCCCAAGCCTCTGCTTTCCCGCCACCTGGAAGCTGTTGGGGGAGAGGATTGTCAATACTTTTTTTTTATGGCCATTGGTAAAGTGGGTAGATTTCAAAGCTGGACAGGGCTCATTATACTGTCCTATCTTTTTTTGTACTTGTTGAAACATTTTTTCATAAAGATTTTCTAAAAGACCAAAATGTATAATGGTCAAAACTCTCCTGAGCAAAGTAAAGTGTGTGGTACAAAAAGACCATATTTTACAAACACTTTAAGTCTGTTCTAAGCATCTGGACTTAGAAATAGAAGCTGTTTCAACTGATCTTTTTATGAGCAAAATTTAAGAAATCACCCTAGTCTTCTGATTGTATTTCCCAGAGTTGTTAAAAGGTCTACATGATAAAATAGCTCATTATGAAAATACATTAAAAAGTACAAGATCTGATGTAAAGTGGTAATCAAGGTTCCAGGCACCATGGACCAGGAATAAACCATCTGGGCTGCAAAGTAGAACCCAGCCCAAAGACACAGGGTGCACTTAACAAGGTGCTTTTTAAAAAAGGCCATTAGATGCATATGGGAAACTCGATGCATGGTGGCAAGTCACAGCCTGAGAGATATTCTTTGGGGTGATAGCCTATCCTTTTTTCTTTTACAAATGAGTTCCCTTCATTTAGTAACTTAGGGTACCCTTAAAGTAACATCTCAAAATTAAAGTAATTTACCAAACATGAGTCAATTTTATAGATAAGATAAATCAGAGGATAATGTATTGGGGCAAGTTTGTTCTTTTTTACAATCAAGAATCCTTATGGTCAGGGATTGATGAAATGGGGATGACAAATATACATTTCAGACCTTCATCACCAATGAAAAAATAAAGCATTTTTATAGACTTAAAACTTGTCATTAGTGCATTTAGATTTTGGAGAAAGAATCAAAATGTAAAATACCTCTACAATAATACAATGTTATCAGAAATCAGCCATAACAGGGGTTGTTCAAAGTGACCACATCTAAGCTACCACTGTTTAAATATAAGAAAAGTAATTTCTTGGTCCAAATCAGTGAAACCTTAAAAAAGATTGTCTTCAGAGAACATTATTTGAGGACAATGCTTTTTCAGACACTTTCTGATATTCAGAATCACTTTATAACATAATTACACATTAACCTTTTAATCACATCTTTCTTAAAAAGCTGCCAGATTTCCATTTCTCCGGGAGATATTTTCACCAGTGTGTTTGTTCCACTCCACAGGATAAGCCTTCTTCATTATTATTAAGAACTTCATACATATTAGAGAGATTGCCATTCACTGCTTTTTCATCTTTTCGAAAAGACACAGGCAGACTTGCTAGACTAAAGTTGACGTCTTTAAAGGCATGCAACAAAAATATCCCCACAATAATTGTGAAGAAGCCACTCAGAGTCCCAATGATATCATCAACAGGCATACCTTGCCATTCCTTAAAAAGAATAGCTGAACAAGTTAAAACTGAAGTTGTGAAGAATACGTAATATATTGGAGTTACGATGGATGTGTTGAATATGTCCAGGGCCCGATTTAGGTAATTAATCTGTGTGCTCACACAGACCACAAGGCTCAGCAGCAGAATCCAGGCCAGGGGGTGCCGCAGCACAGGCTTTGCAGCCAACAGCTCTTTGATGGCGATGCCCAAGCCTTTCACACAAGAGACTGAAAATGCTCCAATCACAGAGCATATTGTTATGTACACAAGAATGTTTGTCTGTCCATGGCGAGGTCCAACCACAAAGATTAGGATCAATGACACAATGACCACAAGTGTTGCAAAGACCACAAAACCTGGAGGAGGCAAAGAAAAGCTGTATTTAGTCAAATGTTATGAAACACAGAGAATCCAAACAAACGATAGGAAAGAGAAAAGGAATTGACTAAGAATAAAAATCGGCTTTTTTGTGCTCAAGTAACAAAAGCACACACCCCCAAAATGTAGTTAGATATGCACACTGGAAGATTACAGTATGCTTCACAGCCACAAATTCTTACACCGCTACCATTTTTTAAGTAGCGGCTTAAACCTACTGAAATGCTCCTAACTCAAGGGAAGGAGAACAGGTATAATCGGAACAGGGACAGAGCTGGGGAAAAGAAATCACAAGGTGTCCCTTGAATGTTCAACAATGTTTATGTGCTATAAACATGGAAATTATTAATCAAGTTTTCCCTGACGGGTAATTTTTCTCAGGAAAAAGTACTAAAATGACAGCAAGTCATTAACAGAACTTAAAAAATTGTCTGGAGGCCATGGTTGAATTTGGAGAACAGACCCAGCATCATGGCATCCATCAATGTAGTCCCGTGGGCCAGGCGCTGTTCTCAGCAATTTGGACTCAACTGCCCATAGCACAGATACAACCGTGTACGTTTTCAAATGAGAAGCCCAGGACATGGAGAGATAACTGTCCCTTCCTCAGAGTTTTAAAGAAGCAAATACACAGAAACAAGAAAGGAAGGGAGATCATAGTAGTATTTTGAGGAAATAAAATTTCTATTTCTCAGAAAGCAGAGGGAATAACTGATAAATGGCAGAGCAGATCCAAGAATGCTGCCTCCTGCATCAGCAGCAATCCGATCAAAACATGATTACACTGCACAGAGCACTCAACAGGTAAAGTTCTTGCAAAGTGGAGGCAAAGGCTACACTGAACGCAAAACCTGGCCGAAAGTACATGCATTCAAGACACAGTGAGGAAGATTCCAAGATGGCAACTAGAGGGAGGAAGCAGAAAGCATGCTTCCTAAAGTAAAATCTTGGAGAGACACTGGAGAACACCTTGCAGGAAAAACCACCAAGAAGAGGTAAAACTCCAACACCACAACCCCAAGCCCGCACATAGCATCTCCACTCCATGTTAAATGGAGAAACCAGGACAGCTCTCGTGCCACCAGACACCAGCGCCTAACTTGCTTGGGAGAAGCAGACCACCAGGTGAGCTAAGTGGCACTCGGTACTCCCAGAGACAACCCTGGGCCAGACCAGCATAGCTCCCTGGACAGACCGACTCCCACCAAGGGTAAAAAACAAACTGAATAATAAACAAGCAGCTGGAAAAAGCCAAAAAGGCACGTAGCAAAGAGGGCAGGGCGCCCTGAGCACCCAAGGAGGGAGAGGGGCAATCCTCATGGAACTGTAAATAAACAAGCTGGTCAGAGAAGGCAGGAGCAGTGGTACCCGCCCAACAACCAAGAGTGGGAAAACTTGTAAAAGTGGGAGTGGGAGGAAAACTCCACAGGAGATGTGGAAAGGACACTTCCCACGTGAACTATAAACATGCCAGCCAGATAATGCAGGTGTAGCGCCGCCTCCCCCAGTGTATTTGGAAGGGGGAAAGCTTGTAACAGTGGCGGTCCTGCCCAGGAGAACTCTGAGTAAACAAAGCCTGCAGGGCCAGGTGGGTGTTAAGCTCACTCCTGAGATCTGCATAAATAACGCCTCCAGCAAAGGCTGGCTAACAGCAGCGGGAAGGTGAGCCACAGCCCGGACATACACAAAGCTGTCTCCAGACTCTTTTTTTTTTTTTTTTTTTTTTCCCCTCTTCCTTTGATGAGACAACAACCAAACTACACCTACATGCTGAAAAACTTACTGAAATGTATTGCATCTGATCTTGGGACACTCTGTTGTGTTTTGGTTTTTTGCTTTTTTGGTTTTTTTCCTTTTGATCAGACAATGACAGAAATACTTCTGAGACACCGTCTCCAGGATTGGAGGCTGAAGGACTAACAGCAAAATTATTAAGACAAACTTTATTGCATTTGAACTTGGAAATTTTTTTTAAATTTTATTTTATTATATATTTTTATTATTTTTAATTTTTTATTTATTTTTTATTTATTTATTTTTAGTTAAACAATTCAAGACCTGTGAAAAGAAAATGCAAGAACTCACTGACTCCATCAAAAGACCAAACCTGAGAATCATGGGCATTGAAGAATGAGAAGAGGTGCAAGCAAAGGGAATGCGTAAAATAGTCAACAAAATAATTACAGAAAATTTCCAAAATCTAGAAAAATCTATGCCCATACAGATGCAAGAAGCCTCCAAAACACCAAACAGACCAGACCAAAACAGAACTACCCCATGGCATATCATTAAAAAAACAAATACAGAGACTAGAGAAAGAATATTGAAGGCTGTAAAAGAGAAAAAACAAATAACATACAAAGGTAAACCCATCAAAATCACAGCAGACTTCTCAACAGAAACATTAAAAGCAAGAAGAGATTGGGGAGAGATGTTCTGGGCACTGAATGAAAATAACTTCAACCCCAGGATACTCTACCCAGCAAAACTATCATTCAAAATAGATGGAGCAATAAAAGTCTTCCATGATAAGCAGAAACTAAAACAATATGTGACCACAAAGCCACCACTACAAAAAATTCGTCAAGGGATTCTGCACACAGAAAGTGAAACCCAACATAACCATGAAAGGGCAGGCAGCACCAAACTACAGGAAAAGAAAAACCAAGTAAGTAGAGAGTACCTCGATTTAGGTACACACAATCAAACCTTCAAACCACTAAGACAACTAAATGACAGGAATCACCACTTACCTATAAGTACTAACACTTAATGTTAATGGACTTAATTCCCCCATCAAAAGGCATCGTTTGAGGAAATGGATTAAAAAGAAAGATCCAACAATATGTTGCTTACAGGAGACCTATCTCACTGACAGAAATAAGCATAGGCTTAGAATGAAAGGCTGGAAGAAGATTTACCAAGCCAGTGGCCCCCGAAAACAGGCAGGAGTAGCAATACTTATCTCTGAAAAAGTAGACTTCAAACCTACATTGATCAAACGAGACAAAGAAGGACATGCCATGCTAATAAAAGTGGAAATACACCAAAAGGAAATAACAATTATCAACCTATATGCACCCAATTTCATCAAACATACCCTGAAGGACCTAAAAGCATATATTACCTCCAACACAGTGGTCGTGGGAGACTTTAACACCCCATTATCAGCAATAGATAGGTCATCCAAACAAAAAATCAATAAAGAAATCCTAGATAAAATATACCATAGATCAAATGGACCTACTTGGATGTCTACAGAACATTCCATCCAACTTTTACACAATATATATTCTTCTCAGCAGCCCACGGAACCATCTCTAAAATAGATCATATCCTCTGGCACAAAGCGAGCCTCAGCAAATACAAGAATATAAAAATTATACCATGCATTTTATCTGATCACAATGCAATAAAACTAGAACTCAACAACAAAAATAAAGACAAAAAACATGCAAACAGCTGGAAACTGAATAACTCATTGCTTAATGAACAATGGGTCATTGATGAAATAAAAGAGGAAATTAAAAAGTTCCTGGAAGTCAATGAAAATGAAAAAACAACCTACCAGAACCTATGGGACACAGGAAAGGCAGTCCTGAGAGGAAAGTTTATAGCCGTGCGTACATATATTAAAAAGACTGAAAGATACCAAATCAATGACCTAATGATACATCTCAAACTCCTAGAAAAACAAGAACAAGCAAATCCCAAGACAAATAAAGGAGAGAAATAATAAAAATAAGAGCTGAAATCAATGAAATGAAACCAAAAAAACCATACAAAGAATATAATGAAACAAAAAGTTGGTTCTTTGAAAAATAAACAAGATCGACAGACCCCTGGCAAACCTGACTAAAATGAGGAGAGAAAAAACCCAAATTAGTTGGAATCAGGAATGCAAAAGGGGAGATAACAACAAACACCATGGAAGTCCAGGAAATCATCAAGACTACTTTGGAACCTATATTCAACTAAATTTGAAAATCTTAAAGAAATGGATAGATTTGTAGATACGATCTATATAAATCATCCAAAACTGAACCAAGAGGAAATTATTAATCACCTGAATAGATCTATAACACAAAATGAAATTGAAGCAGCAATCAAGAGTCTCCCCAAAAAAAAGTCCAGGACCTGATGGATTCTCTGCTGAATTCTATCAGACCTTTAAAGAAGAACTGATACCAACCCTCCTTAAACTTTCCACGAAATAGAAAGGGAAGGAAAACTGCCAACACATTTTATGAAGCCAGTATTACACTTATCCCAAAACCAGGCAAAGACACCTCCAAAAAGGAGAACTATAGGCCAATCTCCTTAATGAACATTGATGCAAAAATCCTCAACAAAATAATGGCAAACGAATTCAACAACACATCAAAAAGATTATTCACCACGACCAAGTAGGCTTCATCCCAGGGAATGCAGGGGTGGTTCAACATACAAAATCAATAAATGTAATAAACCACATTAACAGAAGCAAAGACAAAAAACCACTTGATCATCTCAATAGATGCAGAAAAAGCCTTTGATAAGATCCAACACCATTTCATGATAAAAGCTCTAAGAAAATAGGAATAGAAGGAAAGTACCTCAACATCATAAAAGCTATATATGACAAACCTACAGCCAGCATTATTAATGGAGAAAAACTGAAACCATTCCTCTAAAATCAGGAACCAGACAAGGATGCCCATTATCTCCACTCCTATTCAACATAGTACTGGAATTCCTAGCCAGAGCAATTAGGCAAGAAGAAGGAATAAAAGGAATACAAATAGGTAAAGAAACTGTCAAAATATCCCTATTTGCAGATGATATGATCCTATACCTTAAAGACCCAAAAACTCTACTCAAAGCTCTAGAACCATCAATAGCTATAGCAAGGTAGCAGGATATAAAATCAACATAGAAAAAATCATTAGCATTTCTATACACTAATAATGAACAAACTGAAAAGAATATATGAAAACAATTCCATTTACAATAGCCTCAAAAAAAATCAAATACCTAGGTGTAAACCTAACAAAAGATGTGAACAACCTCTACAAGGAAAACTATAAACTTCTGAAGAAAGAGATTGAGGAAGACTATAGAAAGTGGAGAGATCTCCATGCTCATGGATTGGTAGAATCAACATAGTAAAATGTCTATACTCCCAAAAGTAATCTACATGTTTAATGCAATTCCCATCAAAATTCCAATGACATTCATCAAAGAGATTGAAAATCTACTGTTAAATTTATATGGAAACACAAGAGGCCATGAATAGCCAAGGCAATACTCAGTCAAAAGAAATGCTGAGGTATCACAATACCTGACTTCAAACTATATTACAAAGCCATAACAATAAAACAGCATGGTACTGGCACAAAAACAGACATGAAGACCAGTGGAACAGAATAGAGGACCAGATATGAAGCCACACAACTATAACCAACTTGTCTTTGACAAAGGGCTAAAATATATGATGGAGAAAGCAGCCTCTTCAACAAAAACTGCTGGGAAAACTGGTTAGCAGTCTGCAAAAAACTGAAACTAGATCCATGTTATCACCCTAACCAGTATTAACTCAAAATGGATCAAGATCTTAATATCAGACCCAAACTCTTAAAGTTGATACAGGAAAGAGTAGGAAATACTCTGGAGTTAGTAGGTATAGGTAAGAACTTTCTCAATGAACCCCAGCAAGCACAGATCATAAAACTAAAAAGCTTCTGCTCAACAAAAGAAATGGTTCTAAACTGAAGAGAACACCCAGAGTGGGAGAAAATATTTGCCAGCTACACATCAGACAAAGGACTGATAACCAGAATATATAGGGAACTTAAAAAACTAAATTCTCCCAAAACTAATGAACCAATAAAGAAATGGGCAAGTGAACTAAACAGAACTTTCTCAAAGAAAATTCAAATGGCCAAAAAAACATGAAAAAAAGCTCACCATCTCTAGCAATAAAGGAAATGCAAATTAAAACCACACTAGATTCCACCTCACCCTGTTAGAATAGCCATCATTAGCAACACCACCAACAACAGGTGTTGGCGAGGATGCGGGGAAAAAGGAACCCTCTTACACTGTTGGTGGGAATGTAAACTAGTACAACCACTCTGGAAAAAAATTTGGAGGCTACTTAAACTAAACATGATCTACCATTTGATCCAGCAATACCACTCTTGGGGATATACCCAAAACAATGTGACACAGTTACTCCAGAGCACCTGCACACCCATGTTATATTGCAGCACTATTCACCAAGAGCCAAGTTATGGAAACACCAAGATGCCCATTACGAATGAACAGGATTAAGAAAATGTGGTATCTATACACAATGGAATTTAGCAGCCATGAAGAAGAACGAAATGTTATCATTTCGCTGGTAAATGGATGGAATTGGAGAACATCATTCTGAGTGAGGTTAGCCTGGCCCAAAGACCAAAATCGTATGTTCTCCCTCATAGCGGACATTAGATCAAGGGCAAACACAACAAGGGATTGGACTTTGATCACATGATAAAGTGAGAGAAACACAGGGAGGTTGAGGATAGGTTAAGACACCAAAAAACTAGATAGCATTTGTTGCCCTCAAGCAGAGATAAAGCAGATACCTTAAAGCAACTGAGGCCAAAGGAAAGGGACCAGGAACTAGAGAAAAGTTAATTCGAGAAGACTTAACTAGAGGTAACACACTATGTAACAGGAAATCATGTATGTCAACTTCCTGTAAGTTTTTAATAGACAACAAACCCTTGGCCCTTCCTATTACTTGCTATTTTCTGTCAACAAAGTTAACGATAGGGCAGAATGTTTCTCTGGTAGGTAAAGGGGTAATAAGGGAAGGGTGGGGGGAAGGGGGCAGAAGGTAACACACATGTACAGGAAATCAATGTATGTCAACTCCCTGTACAGCTATTCTTAACTAGCAAAAAACCCTTGGCCCTTCCTATTACTGCTTATACTTTCTGTTCAACAAAGTTAGAGATAAGGGCAGAATAGTTTCTGCCTGGTAGTAAGGGGTAAGTAAGGGAGAGGGTGGGGGGAAGGGGGCAGAAGTGACCCAATGTATGCACATATGAATAAAAAAAAAAAAAGTCACAGTGAGACACTTGATCTCTGCCCAATTCTACATTTCTAGGTGACTACCCCTCCCCTGACAGTGCTTTCTAGTTTGGAGAACTCTAGACTAGCTAAGCATGTGAGTAGCAAACTAAAGCTCAAAAAGACAAATATTGCATGTTTTGTTCTTATGCAGAATCCAGACCTAGAGAAAAAAAAAAAAATCTTGTGACAATGAAATACTAGACTAACTTTCCACAAGTGATAACAAATTACAAAAACAAAAACCCACAAGCAAAAAACAAACATTTACAGCCCAATTTAAGGGACCAAAACTCTAAGAACAGGGAATAAAGTTACTCAGAGCTCAGCTATAGTTTTTTGCTCCAGGGAACCTCCAGCAGGTAAGGGTGAGCATAAAGACTAATGGAAACTTAAGGGCATTTCATAGGACTAGGTAAAAACACTGGAACTGGGGCTAAGGAGCCAAGATTCCCCCCAAAAATATATAGTAACTCCAAGTTTCTGTGCACAGTTCTCCTTGCAGCATTTGTGGACACAGAAACTGAAAAGCTGAGAGAGGAAAGGTTGCAAGGAGTCCACAGGACTGAGTATGATGTTAATATCTTGTGATCTAGAGCAGACGAACACGAGAGCATACAGTAACCCAAGGGAAGGGGCCAAAGTTTATATCCCAAGCTATCAACTAAGAGCCAAAGGACTATGAACAGGAATAAAAGCAAACTGGAAAGAAACCAGACCCAATGAAGCTTAAGATAGCATCTTCAAGGTGAAAGCAACCTGCTGCTCTTTTATGTGCCTGCCAGAAGAATTTTCAGTTCTCCCTGAATAAAGTACCACTCCAGGCCAGAAATGGTGGCACAGGCCTACAATCCCAGCTACTCAGGACACAGAGACTGTTAAGGTCAGTCTGGCAAAAAGTTTGTGAGACTCCCCCCATCTCAACCAACAAGATGGCATGGTGGCACACACTGCATTCCCAGCTAAGTGAGAGGCCGAAGTAGGAGGACTGCAGTCTGAGTCCTAGGAAAAAAAACCTAAGACCTTATCCAAAAAATAACTAAAGCCAAAAGGGATCAAGTGGTAGAGCACCTACCTGTGAGCTCAAACTCTCAGTACTGCAGTAAATAAATAAATGCCAGTAAGTAATAAGCAAAGACTTTAAAGTAACTAAGAATCAAAGAACAAAAGTAAATGTTTGGATATTAAAATTGTAAAGGCAGACAGACTCAAAAGAAAGGCTGGAAGGTAAAATAAGAAGTCTCCCAGAAGGCAGAGCAAAAAGGCAAAATGGTAAAAATGTGAAGAAAAACTAAACATGAGAAAGTAAGTGAGCTGAGGGTGTAGATCAGTTGTAGAGCACTTGCTTAGCCATGAATTTACCCTGAGTATGATCACTAGCACAGAAAGAAAGAAAGGAAAAAGGTAAGAATCTACTTCAAGCAGTCTAATCAACTGATGAGTAAGAATTTGACGAAGGAAGAATTCGGTTTCCCAGAGGAAAACATTAAATTAAAAAGACCCAGTGAGCACCCTGCACAATGGAAAAAATGGACCCACATCTGCATGTCGGTGGGAAATTCCAGACACCAAGGGCAAAAAAAATATTCTAAATGCTTCCAAAGAGTTAAAAAAAAAAAAAAAAGCCACATAAAGAAACAATCAACTGCAGTTGATTTCTCAACAGCAACACAAAGTGAAAAGACAATGGATCACAGTTAAAGACATTTTTAATTACACAAAGCCTCTAAAAAGTTTCATTCTTCTCTGTGCCCTTTTTCATGTTCCACTCAATTCAGGAAAATGGGGATCTAAGAAAAACCAAAAAGTGAAGGAAATCCCCAGGATTCTGATGAAGAAAAATTCAAGATACTGATGGCCTGGAGGGCCAGTACTCGTGGAGGCCAAACAGAAGGCTATGGGAGAGAAATTTCCCAAAAAGATGCAACTAAGAATACCTAATGTGTCTGAAATTAGTGACAGTAGAATTAGACAAGTGAGGAAGTGTTTCAAAAGGGATTGATAAATATATAGAAAACTAAGCAAACAAGATAACAATTAGTTCAACAAAAAACAGACATACAAGAAAGGAGAAACAAGCCAGGCCTGTGGCACACATCTAAATTCCCAGCACCAGGAAGGCAGACACAGGAGGATCATGAGTTTAAGGCCAGCCTGAGCTATCCTACCAAGCAAGACCTTGTTTAAAAAAAAAAAAAACAAGGAAAAGTAATTGTAATCATAATATGGCTGAGTTATGCAGTGAAGGTAATGTAAACAAATACGTTAAACAAAGCTAAGTAAATGCAATAGGTAATAGATATAATAGATAATGACTAAAGCCAAGGAATCAGCAGTGACATAAACATGTTGTCGAAAAGTAGGAATACAGAGTTAAAGAACAAAAGAAACAAGGGGCTGGGGCACCTGACTACTTTCTATTTTTTCATATGCTGTGTAGAACAATGTCTCTTTATGTGCACATAAAATTTTGATTGAAGTAAAAAATGAGTTAAAAAGTATAGTAACACTAATAAAGCTTTTCTTTCTTCTTACCTGGATCACCTAACTTGTGTGACATTTCATTTAAGGTCTCAATCTCCTCTTCTTTTGGAGCATGTATGACCATTACTGTAGATCCAAGAATACTTAGCAAACACCCAATTTTCCCATGAAGATTAAGTCTTTCATTTAGAAAGTATGAAGAAAGAATGGCACTAAAATGGAAAGAGGAAAGGGTTGAGAAATTTTAAAATAATCAGTTACTTTTCTCATTTTTAAGTACTGACAGACACAATTTAAATTACTGAATTCACGCTAAAACACTGAGCTTATGAAGATTCTGGCTTTCAGCCAAAGTAAAGCAAATGTACATTCAACCACGAAATTATAACAACTGAGAGGCTGATTTTGCTAAGAATGCTGACTCTTCACTTGAGCCAGCAAATGTCCAATGAGTAAGTGAAGTAGTATAAAAACATGGCAGCTCTTCTTCCATTTTGCATCTGTCTACTTTGCTGAGTTATCTCTCCTGTGTTACCTTGGATTTCAGGAATTATTCTGACTGAAAAACATCTTATAATCTTAGTCAAAACTACTTCCCAAGCAATAAGAAGTCTATAAGAAATTTACAATATAAAGAGCTATAGTTTGTACAATTTATGTCCTAATAATCTATATTCAAACCAATGACTCAAATTTGCTCAGTTAATGTGTTCCTAATGGTTGATGCATCCCACTTACATGTTACTTTAGCTTAATATAATTTGCCTAATTATCCTGTTATTTAGAAATATAAGAACAAAAGAAACAAGTCTTTTTTTTTTTTTTTTTTTTTGCAGTACTGGCGATCAAACCTTGTGCATACTAGGCAAACACTTCACCATTGAGCTACATCCCCAACCCAAGGATCTTTTAATTATTAATTTGTCTGTAAGTTATCAGGCTTTTATAACTTATACTTAGTTTCATCCAAACCTAAAAAGAAAATACAAAATAAACCAGTAAATAATGTGGCATAATATAAAGAAAATACTGTAACTCTATCTTATATATACTTATATAATAACCCTATTTTATATATAATTTCTTTAAAAATTGATTAAAATACCTAACTCTAATCAACTTTCAGAATAGTGACCAAAATCCAGACATCAAAATAGGCTTAGTTGTTTGGACTAACCATTAAAATAACAGAAACAGGACAAGTCTGGGACTGGTTCTGCAAACAAGCACCTCAGGCCAGTCTTCAGAGACATGTAACCTAGCCCCCACTGACAACTTTCTGTAGTAGGTACGGAAACCTATTCATCATCACCCATGACCTACCACAGTATATGAGCACTGAGTTAAAAATGTTGAACAAGTGCAACTTGGAATCTTCAAAAACTAAAATCACTAATGCTGGGTATGAATTCAAGCCCAAGCATATAATCAGTTTGTCCCACAAATCAACAGCTTGCCTATGCACAGAGGATAACTTTGAAAAGGCCATTAGTTAAAAAAGAAAGTCCTCAAAAAGAAAACCAAAAAAAGAAAGTCCTAAAGGTTACTGAAGACATGTAATCAGTACTAAGTATTTTATAGACCATTATATACAAAAAGTCATGTGCTTACCTTACGAGGACGCTGAGAGCTCCTAGCGGAGTCACTAGTGTGGCTGGTGCAAATGCATATGCAGCAAAGTTGGCCACCTCACCAGCTCCCACTTAAGAGATGGACAACAAAAATACCTCTCAGATAGGAATTTATGCATTCAATTTAGAAACACCTGCATTTTATGCAGTGTCTATGAGTTATCTTCAGTAAGTTCTGTATTTTTTCTCATCTGTTTATTACAGGGTTATGGATCTTCTGTACATTACCAACACCTAGAGTCTACTAGGAACAACACAAATCTGTAACTTTAATTGCAAAAGTCTAGTTTATGCTTACATAAAGATAGTAAAAATTTAAATAGGTATTAATATCCTAGAATAACAAACACAAATCAACTAAAAGAAGCACTGATGAAAAGGCTCTTCTCCCAAGTCTTTTTCACTGGCCTTCCTTTTGAAAGGAGGGCTTAACTTAAGCAATATGTCAGACTGCCAAGAAATACAATGGCAAGAAAAACAATGACATTGCTCTCATAAATCTTATATTTTAGTGAGGGAAGACAAACAAAAATACATGTGTGATACTAGTTAAAAGTGCTGTGAAGAAAAAAAGCTAGGGAAAAGATTGGAATGCTTGAGAGAGAGGGATCACATATGCTGGTATCAGGCAGGAGCTCTGAGATAAGGACACTTTTGAAGACTCTGAAATGAAAATGTGGGAGTTTATACTATTACAAGCAAGAGTAACAGTTAAGTACTAAAACCATGACTGCAGGTATTGGCATGTCTGAGCACCAAAGACTCCAGAGTAGCTCCAACAGAACCAACAATGGGACAATGTAGATCAAGCAGTGGTAGCCAGGGTCACAGCACATGTGACCTTGCTGAGTCCCTAGGGATTTTACTTGAGTTGGAAAAGCTCTGGGAATCCTATGCTGAGTAGGGGCAGGATCTCGTAAGGATCCTTTCTGGCTGTTTTCCAAAATGGTTATGCTAATTTTCACTTAGCAATATGTGATATTGTCAAACTTAAACTTTTACTCATATGTTAGGAATGTTATTCTGTTTTCAATTTGTATTTTCAACTGTCATTTGTTTATTGGCCATGTAAAATTTAAGGAAGTAGCTGTTCAAGTTTACCCCCTATTTGTCTACAAGGGTTTTGTTTTCTCTTAAGGTACTTCTTTACATGTTTTGGGAATGAAACTTTTGTTCACTAAACACATTCCGAATACTTTTCAGACTGCATTTGCCTTTTTATTCTCTTAATACATTCTTTTGAGCAAAATGTTTTGTTTTATTCACTTGTTTGGGGGGTTGGCTATTATTATTTTGGGGGTTTTATCTGTGAGTGTGTTTGCTTATATTGCTAGGAATATGTAAGTCCTTCATTTTAATGTCAAATTTCAAATTATTTTCCTTTGTATTTAGTGCTTCATAAAACTAAGGAATCTTTTTTCTGAAGTCTTGTTTTTCTTTTTTTTGTTGTTGTTTTGGTTATAAAGAAGTTTATTTTGGCTTATGGTGCTGGACATAAGGTCAAGAGGTCCATCTAGTGATGGCCATCTTGCTGGCAGAATCCTGGGGCAGCACAGGGCATCAAATGGCAAGAAACAGAATGCATGTTTATGTGTGATCCTTCTAAATTCTTCAGTGTTCTGCCTTTCACCTTTAGGCCTATACACTACCAAAGATGATTTTTTATCTGTAGAGTGCAGTAGGAACTAATTCTCTTCTTTTCCATATGGATTGTTACAGTAAAACTGAAAAATATCATTCTCTATTTCAATGCCACTTTTGTCATATACTCATAGTATGTCTGTTTCAGGGTTCTCTATTCTATTCTGTTGGTCCATATATATCTATCTGTACATAATACCACAATGACTTAGTAGTGTAACTTCACCGTAAGTTGTTTTTTTTTTGTTGTTGTTGTTTTGCGGTACTGGGGTTTGAACTCAGGGCCTACAGCTCGAGTCACTCCACCAGCCCTTTTTGTGGAGGTTTTTTTTCAAGATAGGATCTCACGAACTATTAACCCAGGCTGGCTTCAAACCACAATCCTCCTGAACTCTGCCTCCTGAATAGCTAGGATTACAGGCATGAGCCACTGTCGCCCAGCTAGAGTAAGTCTTAATAACCCATAGAGCAAAGTCTTTTGCCTCTTTTTCTTAGTAAGTACTTTTGCTCATTTTGAACTTTCAAATTTAATATATAAACATCAACTTATCATGGTTCACAAACAACCCATAGTTTGAGTGGGATAGCATTCAACATATAACTCAGTATGAAGAAATGACTCTATTATGATGAATCTTCTAATTTATGAAGATGGTATAGTCTTCTATTTTGGTATTTTTCTCAGTGATGTTTCAGTTTCCGTGATAAACATCTTTTCCATATTTTCTTAGGTTTATTATTGCTTTTAAAATTGTATTCAACAATCTTGTTAAACCTCAATTTTATAATTTTCCTGTATATTTGTTGGAATTTTTATACTCAAAAGCATATAGTCTGAAACTAAGTTGACATATCCCATTCTAATCTTATGTCCTTCCACCCCTATCTTACTGTATTGACCAGAAATTCCAGTAAAATGCTGAAAAAAGAATGATAACCTCATTTGCTTGTACCCAGTTCAAAAAGAGCCTTCAATGCTTTCCCATTTTTGTGTGTACAATGTGATTGTTTTGGCTTTGTTAAAAACCCTTTAAGCCAGGCACCAGTGGCTCATGCCTGTATTCCTAGGTACGTGGGAAGCTGAAATCAGAAGGATTATGGTTCAAGGTCAACCCGAGCAAATGGTTTGCGAGACCACATCTCCAAAATCAGCAGAGCAAAACAGACTGAAGGTGTAATTCAAGCAACAGAGCACCTGCTGTGCAAGCACAAAGCCCTGATTACAAACCCCAATCCCACAAAAAACAAAAAAAAACACTTTATATTAAGATGGGTACATAGCTCAGTGGTAGCATGCAAAGAATACCTTTACAGTAAGAAAACTGAAAAAAAAAAAAAAAAAGAAAACTGATTTAAATTATTTATATGTAATGACTTCTCTTTTTCGTCATGAATACTTGCTGAAATAATGATAAAATGTGTCTATTTGTTATCATGCTAAATGAGTGATTGGTTTCCCAAAATCTGCCAACTTTGCATCCCTAGAATAAATAAAACTTGTTAATGATGTATTATTTAGGATTTTTTCATATATGTTCATGAATGAGACTGAGTTATAATTTTCCTTTCTTTTTAGTATTAAGGATTATGAAGACTTTTAAAAAGTTCTATTAAATAGGAACTTGTTCAAGATTGAAATTACTTCTTTAAATCATCACAGATCTTACCTGTGAAAACAAGGTCCAGGGCTTAATATGTGTAAAGGTTTTTAAATTAAAGAATCAATTGTATTATGAAAGAGGAGTATTCCAAATTTCTATTTCAATTTATTCTGGATTTGATGTTTTTTAGAAATGTGTCTTAATATGTGTAAGTTTTCATGTTTACTAAAGTAAACTATTCGCAAAACCCTGTTAAAATATCTTCAAAACCCTACCTATAAAGCCTAGCTATTTCATCTTCCTTTTTTCTTAACCATTTTCAAGAAGTTTATCAATTTCATCACTCTGATCAGAGACCAAAATAGTGGCTTTAATAGCCACCTTGTTTTCTTACTTAAATAATTTTAACTAGCTCTTCTTCTTTATTACTTTCTAATATGTTTGTAGGCTTATTTTGCCATTCTTTTTTTATTTTATTGAATTAAATGTCTCAATTTTCTAATTTTCAATTTTATATATTTGAAATTATAAATTTTAATCTAACTATTTGCTATTTCCTTATTTCTACATACATGGAATTTTCATGCTTTCTGTTGATTTTTAATATAACTACAGTGATGTGTAAAAATACTGTAATTTAAATCGTCTGAAAAATTTAAGACTGGCTTTATGTTCCAGCAAATAGTCAAACTGGGTAAATACTCCATATGCAACTAAAAAGAATACAGATATGGCTTACGTACATTTTACTAAGTTTGTTAGAGTTTCTATTCAAATTTTCTATAGCCTTGATGATCTTTCTTAGCTTGCCTTATCAATAAGAGTAGTAAATTGCAACCACTGTATGATTTTCAATTTATCTATTTCAACCTAGGCAATTTCTGCTTTGTATATTTCAAAGCCTTATTACTAAAGTCAGAACTGTGTTACAACTTCCAGAAATTTTGAACCTTCTATCACTAAGAAATAACCCTCTATCTCCAGTATTGTTTTTTGATTTGAGGTATGTTTTCATTGATTATCAATAACAGCAGTCTCAACTTTCCTCTGGTATGTTTCAGACATTCTATACCCTTATTTTTTGTATGAATAGTATGTAAAAAGCATGTTGTTGGTTTTACAAACTCCAGTCTGTCAATCTTTGCTTTTGAACTGGTGCATTTCATTAGGGTAGTAATTGATATATATAGTTTCAAATATACCATCCTTATAAAATTAGTTTTATTTTTAAATGCTTAAGTTTTAATAAAACATTGCAAATAGAATAAAATACAAATGACAGCAATAAAGCCACTATCCAGATTTAATAGATATAACAATTTTCTCAAATGTAATCTTTTCCTTTTAAATGTGTTTTCTTTTCCCTAATGTTTTAACCAATTACAAGCATACAACATCTCATTCTTTACATTATAAAAATACACTCCAAGTTAAGCACAAAATCATTATCACACCTCACAAAAATAACAATAAGCCCTAAGATCATCTAGTCACAATTCCCCTTTAACTCCTAAAATGTCTTTTTTGGGTTTTGTTTGTTTTTTGCAGCGCTGGGGTTTTAACTGAAGCCCTCACACTAGCCCTCTTGCGCTCTACCACTTGAGCCACTCCCTACTCCGTCAGCCCTCTAAAATGTCTTTTATAGATGACTTGTTCCTACTAGAATTCAGTCAAGGAATGTGGTTGCAATGTCTCAAATATCTTTTTATCTAAATTAGGTTCTCCTATTTTAGTTTTATTCTTGAAGGATATTTTCACAGAATACAGATTTCTACTGTCAGCAGTTTTCAACACTTCGAAGCTCTAGTTCCAACTGTTTTCTCCTTTCAATGTTGTTAAAACTCTGCTATGAATGTTTTTTCCTATGACAACTTTTAAAAATTTTGACTTTGGTTTTCATCAGTTTTACTGCTACATGGTTAGGTCTAATTTTCTTTTCACAGATTTTGCACAAGTCTTGTTGGGGTCTTTGAATCTGGGATCTGGTAACTTTGGTCAGTTTCGGAAAATTCTTGGCCACTTTTTCTTATTCTCAGAGTCCAATTATTCACTGAATTCTCTAAATTCCATAATCAGCTTATCTATATTTCCCATACCTTTGTCTCTACTTATTTCATTCTAATTTATTTCAAACTACCTCCACTTTGCTAAGTCTCTCTTCAACCATACCTAAGTCAATGCAGTTTTCCTTATTACGTTTTAATTCTAAAATTACTTTTTAGTTCTGCAACTCTGTAATGTCTCTATAGTCCCATTCATTCTTAGAACTATAGTACCTTGTAATAAACAGTTATTTTATGGTCATGATGCTTCCAGCATCTGCAGTCAGGTTTCTATGTTATGTTTGCTAAAGTTTCTTAATCTCATGTTCTTCCACCACCACCCTTTATTCATATTTCACTTTTTTTTTTTAATAAAGAGATGGGGTCTTATGTTGCCCAGACTGCTCCTGAACTCCTGGGCTAAAGTGATCTTCCTGCCCCAGCCTTCCAAGTAGATGGAACTACAGGTACACACCACTGTACCAAGCAGACATTTTATCTTTAAATTACTTATTGAAATTTTTAAAAAATTTATTGTATCTTTAAGGGCAGGATGATACTATATCTTCAACAGAGAATTTTTGCTTTTTCTTCTGCTAGGTGGCAGGGAGCATTAGCACTTTAGGACCAAACCTAGAAAATGTCCAATGCACAAATGGGTTTGCACCCCTAAGACACAAACATTCCACAGTTTGTGTCTTTTCAGAGACACAAACAGCCCAGAGCATATGTTGGTTCCTATTCTTGATAGCCAAAGGGTGTGACTCATGTTAATCCAGTTCAAAGGTTCATGTTATCTCTTAGTTGCCTCCTCTTAGCTGCAAACTCTAGTGAAGAAGTATGTCCAGCTTATCCTCCTGTGCTCAAATCCTTTCCTTACACTTACCCTTTTTTTTTTGGTAGTACATGGGTTTGAACTCAAGGCCTTTAACTTGACAACACCCAAGCTCCCTGATCTTGGCCAGGTTACTCAGGTAATTCTCCATTATCATATTAGCTCTTTGATGCTTATGATTTTTATATCTTTTTCAACTTTTTGTTTTCCAAAAAATGTTGAAATACATACCTCACCCATAATTACAATAAGCTCTCACATTGCTTTTTGTCTGTTTGTTCATTTGATTGTTTTTTCAAGAGACTGCTTTGCAAGTGTGAAGTCGAGTTCAGACCCCAGTTCCACCAAAAAAAAAAAAAAAAAAAAAAAAAACCAGACTGGCTGTTAATGATCCTACTGCCTCAGTCTCCCTAGAACTTCATAACATGTACAACTGTATCTTGCTCAATACTGTTTTGCTTTTTTGTTTTTGAGACAGGGCCTCACTATGTAACCCAAGCCAGTATTGAACTTGTGATCCTCCTACCTTAGCCTCCCAAGTGCTGGAATTACAAGGGTATACTACCAGTCCAACTTCAATATTGCTTTTTAGGTGTTCAAAAGTTTTGTTTAGGACTAGCAGTGTAGCTCAAGTGGCAGAGCGCCTGCCTAGCAAGAGAAGGCCCTGAGTTCAAGTCCTAGTTCTGCCAAAAAAAAAAAAAAAGCATATATAAGCCATGTGCCAGTGGATCATGCCTCTAATCCTAGCTAGTCAGGAGGCAGAGATCAGGAGGATCACAATTTGAAATCAGCCTGGGCAAATAGTCTGAGAGACCTTATCTTGAAAAAACCCAACCCAAAAATACAGGGCTGGTGGAGTGGCTCTAGCTCTAGGCCCTGAGTTCAAACCCCAGTACCGCAAAAAAAAAAAAAAAAGTATGCATAAATTTTAATACCAAAACTGCTGTTCTCAGGATCACCAAGGCTTTACATATTGCTAAATCCAACAGTCACTTTTGAATCCTTCTTGTATCTACTTTATATCAGCACCATCTGAACAAACCAGTACTCTTGTTCCTTCAAACCCTTCCATCACTAGACTCACTTAGTCTCCTACCGCTCCGGATGTTCCTTTATAGCTTGTTCTTACTCTAGATAAATCTGAGCTGCTCTCCTTCCCATCTCTGATCTTGGGCTTCTTATTCTAACCATTCTCATTTCCTAGACTAGACCATCTTGTCTAGTCTTGTGGCTTTAAATACCAATAGTGACTCCCAAACTGGAGAGCCCCTAGACTCTCCAGTCTGGATTACTTGGTAGAATTCCAGACCTAATTACCGACTTCATATATCTGCTCACATATTTTATAAGAATGTCTAACTTTAACACACTTAAGACGAAATTCCTGATATCCTCCTATCCCATCTGCCCAGACTGTTCCTAGTTTTAGCATCAGGTGAACATCACTCATTTCTTTCACTTACTATAGCCAAAAGTCTTTGTGTCATCCTCTTTCTTAGCACTCTTCTCTTTCATACCAGTGAACAAATCTTGTCAGTTCAACCCTGAAACATCACTTCTCAGCATACTCACTGCTACTACCTTGGTCTCCACTATTACCTCTTACCTGATTATTGCAATAGCCTCCTGACTAGTTTTTCTCCTGCCTCTTTGCAGCCAGAGAAAACCTATTAAAACTAAGATACTAAGGGTATGGCATGTGGTAGAGCATCTACCTAGCAAGTGTGAAGCCCCGAGTTCAAACACCAGTACCACCAAAAAAATTTAATTAAATTAAATTAAAGCTAAGGGCAGGCACTATGGCTCACGCTTGTAATGCAAGGAACTTCAGAAGTATAGTTCAAGGCCAGCACAGGCAAAAAAGCTAATGAGACACCATTCCAAAAAACAAAAACTAAACAACCAAGCTGAGCGTGGTATGGTGGTGCACACTTGTAATTCCAGCTATGTGGGAGGCAAAAGTAGAAGGATAGAGGTGTGAGGCCAGCCCCTGGGCAAAAATGCAAGACTGTATCTGAAAATAACTAAAGCAAAAAGGTCTAGGGGTGTGGCTCAAATGGTGGACCTAGCAAGCATGAGGGCCCTAAGTTCAAACTGGGGTACAGCAAAAAAAAAAAAAAAAAAAGAACAAAAAAACTGAGGAAGATCATATCACTCCTTTTTGCTAAGGTCTCCAATGACTTCCCATTTAACATAAAAGTCAAAGTTCTTTTTGTGACCTATAAACCCACATTATGTGGGCTTTCATTACTTCTCTGAACTTACCTCCTACTGTCCTACCCCTTTCACTCCCTTAATGCTCTACTTGCCTCTGTAATGTTTCTTAGTGCTATAAAACAAAGCATCCTTAAATCTGGGAGTGTAAAACAAAATAGCCATTCACTCTTAGGGATTCTGTTAGTCAAGACTTCAAGGAAAGGGTTGATGTCTTTCAAGAAGTTGCAATTAAGATGTAATCCAGGACTGCAGTCATCTGAAGGCTGGACTAGAGCTGGAGGACCCAAATCAAAGGTGGCTCACTGATATGACTGGTAAGTATGTACCAACTGCTATCACCTAGAGACTTTTCCACAGGCTGCTGGCTTCTCCCAGAATGAGCAATTTAAGGAATGAGGGAGGACTGGGGGTATGGTTCAAGTGGTAGAGCACCTGACTAGCAAGTGCAAGGCCTTGAATTCAAACCCCAGCACCACAAAAAAAAGGAATCAGCAAAAAGGCTGCTATCTCTTATGACTTTCACCTCAGAAGTTACACATCATCACTTTCATGGTATTCTGAGCTAGGACTAATTCAATGTGAGAGGGGATGATAATCAGCTATTATCAGTGATGACTACCACTGATAGTCATCATGGAGGCTACCTATAATGTTCACAGGCTATGCATGGTCCCCCTAATGGAGACCAAGTTACTGCTTTCTTTTGTTTTAAATGTTCTTTTCCCCACATATTCATATGGCCTGTTATTATGTCTGTTACTCAAATACCATCTTTTCAATAAGGCTTGTCCCTACCTCCTATCTAAAGTTTTAAGTCTATTTAACCTTGTATTTTAGATCCCTTTCCCAGATTTACTCCTCCACCCTTAGCATTTATACACACATGACCCTACCTTTTAGCTTACTTATCTTGCTTATTGTATGCTTCCCACCTAGAAAGTGGGTAAGGATTTTGAAGGGACTTTTTGTTTTCTCTCACTAGCATATCTTCAGCACTAGAACAATGGCATATAAGAGATGATTGGTAAAAATAGCCCAGTCTTAGCATCCTAAGGAAAATTTCTTCCATATACCTTTTTAAAGATAGTCATCAAAACAAGCATGAACAGTATTATCAAATACATACCTTCTTTTTAATTTGCATTGAGAGGAGGAAGCATTCAAAATCAAACTTTTTGTGATGCTAAGGAAAGGAACCCGAAGTGTTTTGCATGCTAGACAAGCACTCCACCACTAACCTGCTCTCCCAGCCTCAAAATTACCTTCTTAAACTGAGCATAATTTTTAAAAATGAAGTTGTATTGAACATGTTTTAATCACATGGGTAAAAAAGGTCTTTTCATTCAAAGTAAGCTATTAGACTGCTGAATTAATTTGACAGGTTTAAACATATTTTGAGCTTTATTTATTAAAATAAGGTTTAACTTTTAAAATTCGCTAGTAATACGAGGCTATTATATGTATTATATGCCATTATAATAGCATATGCAAATATTTTAAAATACAGATAAAACATTTTGTTGAAATGTTCTGTATACATACTTGATAGTAGTCCAGCCCACCATAACCATTCTTTAAGATATGCATGGCCGCCTTGACCTGTGAATGAAGAAACAGTTCACTTCTTTGGAAAATTATCAGTCTCTTATATAAATTATGACAACTATTAGTAATAGATTTTAAAGTGATTTTAAGTACTTTTAAAGTGATTTTAAGTACTTTAGATAAAGATTTCTTCATGATTATATAATGGGATTTCTTAGATAATATTTTGATGTTACTTCAAAAAAGGGAAGTGAACATCATGAGAATCTTAAAAAATGTCTAGGTTTATACTGTTTGGCTTATACTCTCTCCTCTTTTGTTCTATGAATTCAGCCTGAATAAATAAAGGATCCAGTAAGAAGCAGCCCAACTTCAAATGAGTTAGTCCACAAAGGAGTAAGCCATTTAGGTGAGGAGACTATGGTCCTATAAAGACTGAGAACTGCTCACAGTCTAGGGTTGCCAAGATGTACCTCCTGCTTTTTGCTTGGCTTTTCCCTGGACCAAACTAATAAAGTCAGGAAGTAGTTCAAACTGAAGCCATTGTCCAAAAAAAAACAATGACTCTTTTATAGTCATATCCATTGTAGATAACAAAACAGCATGCCTTAGGACCAAAGATAAGAGACTAGGAGAAAAGATGTTGTTTTCTCCTCTGTCCACTAAACCCCAAGAGCCTACTATTTCATGTTTTAACACTGCTGAGTTAGGCTGTGCCACACAGATGTCACAGGAAAGAGAGAAAGTCATAATTTTTACTGCCAAAACAGGTCTACTCATGAGGTCCAATCAGTTCTAAAGTGAAGCAGAGCCAGAATGATGGAATATGACCAGAGAGCTGTCAGGAGATGCCCCACAAAGAGGCAGAGTGGGGTTCAATCACAATGAGAATCCCTGGGGTCTTGTGACTTGTCAACAATTTCTGGAAAAACAATCAACACCACCAGGTCAATGAAATGGGTACTTCTCAAGCCAGAGAGGATCTCTCTTTCCTTCCTGCCAATATGAGCTCAGGAAAAACATCTTAAGGTGAAAGCTTAAGATCTTCTACTATCACAGACAAAATACCCCAGCCTTCAGTAAGATCAAATTCATCAACCCTATTTCTATCTCTGCAGAATTTGAAGCAAGCATGTTAATTTGGCATTGGTCCCCGTTTACACTTTGATAACAACTGTTAACTAATTTTGACAACTTCCTTTTTCTTGTTACAAAACTGGTGTTTGATTGTCTATAAATATTTAGAATTCCTGAACAGTTCAAAAGTTCAAATACACTCACAAGGAATGAAGACATGTTCTTCTATGGTCAAAGAATCAGAATATAGAGTATAACTTACCTGCTCTCATGGAACCTTTTCTAGCAAGTCGCAAAAGACCTTTTTTTTTCAAAATGAAACTCCCTCCAATAAAAATGCTGGAGGTCATAGCCAATCCCAGACCGATATAAAAGTCATATTTTCCACGCCCTGGGCTCATTTCGTTTATTACTTAAGAAGTTCCTATGAATCACATTGGTCAGAGAAATTGCTGGTACTGGAGGCAGGATGATGCAGTCCTCAAATCTGAACAATACAAAATGAAATGAGATTTTAATAGAATGACCAGGACAGCTCACACACAATTCAAAATTGTACTTCATTTCTCATGATGCTGTTGATAAAGACACTTATATAAATTTAGCACTAATCTAATATCTCTTCCAATTATGGCAAAAGATTGGACTGTGATATAAAGCCAAATATAAATGGATTTTATAAACTCTGGTTTTTTTTTTTTGGCCCTGGGAATTGAACTCAGGACCTTGTGCTTGCTAGGCAGGCACTCTACCAAAAGGGCCTAGCCCTTTTTGGCACTGGTTACTTTTGAGACAGGGTCTCACTTTGTGCCTGGGATGGCCCAGACCATAGTCCTATTTGCAGTCCCCACACAATTAAGGATGACAGGCATGAGCCATCACACCCAGCCACTGGTTGAGATGGGTCTTGCAAATTTTTTTGCCCAAGCTGGCTTCAAACCATGATACTCCTGATCTCTACCTCCTAAGAAGCTAGGCTACAGGCTTGAGCCACCAACCCCAGACCTGATTTGCATTTTTATTAAAAAAAATGTTTGCAATCATAGTGGATAGTCTATACTAATAAAACTTCGCTAATAAATTCTACAGAATAAAAAACTCAAGCATAACAAATAACAAATTTAGCTCATCAATACATTTAACAATTTTGCAAATGTGTCCTTACTGAATATCACATAAAGAATTTCAAAATTTTCCATACATTCATTTGCTTCTTAGAAATATATATAGATCAAGGCATGGTCATGCCTGTAATCACAGTACTCAGAAAGCAGATGTGGCAGAATCTCAAAGTCAAGGCCAGCCTGGGCTATATGGTTAGCCCAACTTAAAAAAAAAAAAAAAGAAAAGAGAGAGAGAAAGAAAAGAAGGTAAATTATTTGTTTAGCCTATCTGGGAATGTGTTGAAAGAAAACAATTTTCACATTATTTTGTTAGCAAAGTATGACGATTCTAGCAAAGATGTGTATGGAGTACAGGGTTTAGTACTTTGAATTTTAACAAATGGGAGAACCATGGCACCAGAAATTTCAATTCACAAGATGTGAAGGGAAGTGTAAGTTTACCAAAGACTACATACACATTTTTTCCCAAATGGGCCAACTCATGAACTTTGCTGACAAGTGACTAAAGCAAAATGTGGAAAGCAGAGGAAAAAAAAAAATCATACTTAACAACAAGGTTTACGATTGGCTATACCTGTATAACTTTGTAGTATGTTGGGATTTTTAGTCCAGTATTTAATTACTGAGTCCCAAAACTAATCTGAAGTCTAGTGGGGATCCTAAGTAGTCCTCACTAACTAGCCAGTATTTTCCACAGTTCATTGTAAGTCTGTGGTCATTAGCCAAAGCAATTCAACTTCCTATCCCCTCATTACTTTTTTTGAGACACGGTCTTATTATGTAGCCTTAAACATATAATCCTCCTGCCTTAGCTTCCCAAGTGGTGGAATTACAAATAAGTGTCACCAGACCGGCCCTACAAGTTACTTTTTCTATTCAAACAGTGTTTATTAGGTGTATGTTGTATATGTCTAAGCACTCTGGATATAAAGGTGATAAACTTTTTTGGCTGGGAATGTGGCTCAATGGTACAGTCACTGAATTTGATGCCAGTGATAGCTTTTAGTCATCAATAGGAACACAGACAGCAGTTAAATGAACATGGAATGACTAATAACAATAACTACAGCATTATTACACTAAGTTGATATCACTCCAAACAAAAGAAAAAGGCCAGTGTTATGATTTGTCTATTGAAGTTCATTATGATTCCTGTATACTTCAATGAAAATAGTTCCTCACCCTATGGATTTGGGACTCGGCCACAAGCTTGGTCTAGTCATTGGGAGCAAGATGAACTAGCACAGTGTCTGTTTTGTACATGGTCCTAATAAAACCCCTCATACCTCATACTCCTGCTTGCTCCTTTGTACCCTACATTTAGCATGCCCCCACGAGCACACTGATGATGACAGAAGGAAATGCACAGAACAGCACTATCCTAGCTGACCCACAAACTTGTGAGCATAATCATATTCCTGTATGCCACTGCAATATCTAACTTACACACATCAACAAGGTTTCTACAGTAAGTACAAAATTTCCATCATGGGGTTTGAGGAGATAGCTTAGTATGCCTACTATGATGAGGCCCTGAGTTTGATTCCCAGTACTGCCAAAATAAAATTTAAAACAAAATAAATAAATTCCATCATGATTTTTGAAATACAAAATCTTATATACAGAAAACAGACATAGCAGTTAAAGCTGTGCCTACATAGAGCACATAATGGCTCATTGTACTATTTACTTCTGTTGTGTGTCTAAACACTTCTACATTATAAAGATTTTAAAACACATCCTTCATTGCTGAAGCACTATAAGGATATCAGTACAGAAACCACTAGCAGGTCCCAAAAGCAAGGCTGCCCCACAACCTAGGTAGGACAAGACAATAATGAAACATGAGAAGACAAGACACTCAATTCAGAAAGGTGCTGAGTTTTACAAGTATCAATATAACATGCATGAGAGTAAACATCTGCTTGAAACCTTTCCAGACTGCTCTTTCTGTTAGGGGATTTGAACAAGTAGCCTACTCCCTACTTTGCTACTCCTAAGGCAAGATGATGCCATGAGAAAAATCCTAGGTGTGGAGACTGCTCTGCCTCAATCTGGGTATGTATTACAGATACACATAAGAAAAGAAACTCTTCAACAATACTGGAGAAAAGGGCAGAACAGGTTCTGCCTGGAAGCGAGGGGGTGAGGGTAGACGGAGGAGGCAGGGAGCAGGAGGGAGAAATGGCCCAAACGGTGTATGCACATATGAATAAATGAATAAAGAAAAGAAAAGAAAAAAGCCCTCTTTATGTGCCAAACACTGGCCATTTCAATCTGCAGTTTAAATTTAGCATGCCCTTCATGAATGTAACAATCAGTTACAGACATGGAAACACATGCAGGGAAGGAAGACGTAGAAAAATTTGTGAACAAGAAAGATGGTTAGGGACACCATTTCTATACATGACAAATACATTGTAACAACAACAACAAAAAAGTGTGCTTACAATGTTCTACACCCTACATAACTAGTTGACCTGTGTTTATAAGCTAGCCTCTCTCACAAAATTGTAAGCTTCTGGGCTTCTGAACAGTTCTCATCTTTCAAGCCTGTGCACCTAGCTATCTGGTCGCCTCAAGGTATGTCTTAATATTTGTTTTCTAGGTGAATACAGATGAATGGAATGAATAAGAACTGACCCTAAATAATAAAGTTGTCTATTCTGAAGTGTCCCATTAGTACACAGAAAATCACTGCATAATTTAGATCAGCATCCCAAAATGCAATCAATGTTTTAGAGCCTATAACATGAGAACTGTAAAAAGTTATGAAAGTAAGCTAGGAAATAACAATACTAGATTCAAGGGAAAAATGCAAGGATAATGGTCACAGAGTCTGGGAAAATTACAGTTAGAAAACCTACCTACCCAAACACATCAGTCCTCTTAGTGTGTATATCCTACTAATGAGCAAGGTTCACTTAACTTTAATGAAAGCATTCATGCAGATCAGGTGATGTAGGGTTAGGGTGTAGCACAGTGGCAAAGTCCATGCTTAGCATGTGCCAAGGCCCTTTGATCAGTCTTCAGCACACCAAAGAAAAGATCGAATGGTGCAACCATCATCCTCCTTTAACTATTATCTTCATGAAGCAATATTCTTAATTATTATTATACAATTACTGAGGAATTGACTACTTGCCGGTGTATTTCTCACTATAATTTTTTTAAAGTTCAGGGGTTCAGAAATCTTGCTTTTGGACATCTGAATAAAACAAATAAAACTTATACTCTGAATATTCCACAATAAAAATGTAACTTTGTTTTCTGCAATGATGATACCCAGAAATAAGTCAATTTTATTTATAATTCTAGTTGCAGTACAACAGCCTTAACAAATCCAAATTCAGATTTACTTATGTAAACCTGACTTTCAGATACCAAACAAGGTCTTTAACTAGTAATATTTACTAAGGAATGTTAACATTCACTAAATCCAAGTTGCATATAGTACAAGGGCTACAATTAAGACCAGTATTATAAGCCATATGTGATAGTACCATACGTGTAATCCCAGCACCCAGAAAACAGATGCAGGAAGCTTGTGCATTCAAAGGCAGCCTAGGCTACAAAGTGAGACTTTATCTCAAAAAAAGAAGGACCAATATTATGTGCTTGACATCTGTTAAAGCATGAAAGATGTGAATGGCCTCACAGTAAATTTTCTTCCCAACTCTGCTTCTGTGGATAAGATCCTGAAGCTAAACAATCCATCTTATCAGAGCAACTACGCTTCTCCCTATACAGTGGTCTTCACTGCCTTGCCAGCCCAAGGAATTATCCAAACAATCACATCTTCCAAAAGGAACCAAAAGGTATTCCCTTTACTACAAAGCCTGCCTTCCACAGCTTCTGGTTTTTCCCCCTGTTCTGAGCACAGCCTCTGTGAGACCCTGCATGATGCACAGTGACCTGAGTACAGAAGACTAAGAATCTGCTGCTGTCTATCTCATTTGCCAGTATCTGAGGCAAAAATGCCTCCTCAACCACAAGATAAAGAGCTGATTTTAAAACAATGTATGTCAACTGTGGAATCTCCTCTCTGAGGTATGAATGATGGCCATGTAGTGATATGAAGCACTTCTGCCCTGTAATTCTGTAATAATAGCAGAGTATGTCCTGTGTTAATAAACAATTTTGAATTGTCTAATAAGCAAAAAAAAAAAAAAACAAAAAACAAAGCATGTAATTTATTTTATCCTAAGGCCAATGAAAAGCTGTTTTTACCATGGCTTATATATGAATTTTCTCCATAATTATTTAAAGTTCCGTGACACTGTTTTAAATCTATTTTTCCCTTTCCTTTTCATCTTTATCTATGTACTATAGAAAATTTCAAACACTCAAAATAGAGAGAAGGTCTTTGGGACCAGTTAATTATATATGTACAGCTTTGGAGAATCCCCATAACCAGGCTCCATCTCCACTACCCACTTCATTTCTTAGCACACGGTCCTGACATCCAACACAGGTGGCATCCCTGGTCACACGCATAACAGCCTGCTCTTCCACTCCCACAAAAGGCTATGGCTCCCTCCTCCTAACCTCCACAAGGCCTGCTCTTCACTCAAAGCCAGGCCACACATCAAGCTATGCTACACAGATACCTCCAATAAATCTAGTCCACGGGCATTTTGTCATCTTTTCACTTAGAGTCAGCTTCACAAAATTTAATTCTCAATTACCATTCTATCTTTGAAGTGAACTCTTCAAGTTCCTTAAAGACAATTACTTTGGTTCTTTGTAATGGCTCCCACACAAAAAGCACTCATTTACGACAGCAATTTTGATTTAAGCTTTCTAGAATTAAGGTGATTTGTTAAGTTTATTCATCCATGGAAATACAACAGCATACATGAATCGCTGTAGTTTGGAAGCCTCTAAATTCTAAGATAGACTTCAGTCATTAAACTAAGAAAATGAATTACCTCATTTGAACTTACAGTTTGAAAATGGGACAGCAGTGTGAATGCCCTGAAAGGAATGAGTTGCTTCGTTATTCACCAACCTGGTAATGCTCTGTTCCCACTCTATGTAAGTGAAGGTCAATCACAGCTGGAAGAGCCTGCAACAGACATTTTTTTATTCTTAAGGTTCAACCATGAGACAGCATCAGGCTTAGAGACAGTTGAACAGAAAACTTGCTAAATTTCAGGGCTGGGGGTGTGTCTCACTAGCAGAGCACTTGCCTAGTCATTTGTGACACCCTGGGTTCAATCCCTAGCATCACCAAACAAAAATGGGCCAGGCTCCGTGGTTCAAGTCTATAATCCCACCACTTGGGTGGCAGAGATTGGGAGGATCATAGTTCCAGGACAGCCCAAGAAAAAAGTTAGCAAGACCCAATCTCAACAAAATAAGCTGGGCAAAGTAGTGCATGCCTGTGTGCAGGACACCTAGATAGGAGGATCACAGTCCAAGGCCCACCCTAACCAAAAATGCAAGACCATATTGGAAAAATAACTAAAACAAAAAAGGGTTGAGAGTATGGCTCCAAGTGGTAGAGTGCCTGCTTAGCAAGCTTGAAGTCCTGAGTTCAAACTCTTGCACTACAAAAAAAAAAAAAAAAAAACCTTGCTAAATTTCACTTCAACTGGGTTTCTAAACCTACCCATATAGTTTAGTATCTTACACAGCTTATTTCTCACAGGGCCTCAGGTGGCATAACTCCCAACTGTTATTGTTATTTACCATGTGGACATTTGTTCAGCTATTATGTGTCGGGTACTGGAGTCCTAAAGATGAATCAAAAGTCTGTGTTCTCAAGGATTCCACACCTTAGAATTATTATTTTTAAAGTTCTAAAAATAATTTATTCAAATTGTAAACACACTTGTAAAGACTCTTACAATTTCTAGCTTCTTCTAAATGTTAACAAACTTAATTTTCACAATTGATTTTACAAAATGATACTTAGAATGTAAACTTCCATTTAATGCAAGTTATGTCCAAAACAATATACATCTCAAAAACAAGTTATGAAACTTGATTCAAACTCTTTTATAAATGTGGAGCACATAAGAAACAGAAAAATAATGGAGCAGTACTCTAACATCTGTGAAGAGAGCCTACATTGAGACTTACTTTGTAAAATGATTAACAGTAGGCAACACAATCACCAAAGTTAGCAAATTTTAAAAATTATACCAACTGAAGAACATATGTAACTGTAAACTTGCCACAGAGTTTTTGACATCTCATTTTCACAAAAGCTAGAGAAGATACCTTATCAGGGTCCAGGATGAGGAAACAGACATAGAGACAAAAGCAACCTGTCATGCAGCAGCAGATAGAGGAAACCACAACTCATTCCAGGTCTCTTCATGCTTAGCCCTTCCCAGTGGAATCTAGTCAGAGGTGGAACCAAGCAAGGGTTTCAGTGTAGGTGGCCTTCTCTACTGCATGTGCTCTTCCTTGTGCTGACAATGGCTTCACCATTTTCTTTACTCAAAGTGGACACAAAACAGAGCTAACAATGCCAGATGGATTCCACCTTTAAAACACAGACTTGTATCTGCTCTTCCTGACCAGAACCCGTACCTCCATCTGTCTCCCAGCTCTAGTATAACTTAAACCCACAAGGCTGACAACCTGGGGTAAATACATTTCTGCCAATCTCATTCTCTTGCTTAAAAACTTAGGGCTAGGGATATAGCTCAGTAATAGAGTGCATGCTTAGCATGGGTGAAGTCCTGTGCACACAAAACACACAAAACACACACACACACACACACACACACACACACACACACCCACCCCGGAATTACTACCCACTGTTTAGTCCAAATTTTGTAACCCAGTAATTAAGAACCCTTTATCATTTCTTCCAAACCTAACTTTTACATCCTATTTCACAACACTGTATTTCACAGATGCTGTGTTCTTCCCAAGGTCAGCACGATGCCACTCTAACCTACTCCTACTTTTCCTTCTCCATGTTTGTTTACCGTACCTCCTTCACTGTAATGTACTCAGTTCAAAAGGCACTTCTGCAAGCAAGCCCTGCTTAAACTCCACAAGCCACAGTAATCATAATCTTTTCTAAATTTCCTAGCCTTTAACCTGTACTTCTCTCCAGACACTTATTTTCCTAGCCTGTTTTACAGTTGTTTATGTGCTTAACTCACATCCCCTTCATTGTGGCTCTCTGTGAAGAACTGGCTTGCCTGTCTCATTTTACTCAAATCAACAAAGATGTACCAAGTACCTACTATGTTTTAGGAACAAGGGTATAGCACTGAATAAAATAGACCAAAACCCTATCTTCATGGTGCCTGTTTTCTGTTGGAGGTAGGGCGAAAAAATAAATAAGGATATTGGAAAGTAGTAAATGCTATGGTAAAAGATAACTCATGTTAAGGGCAATAAGGATCTGAGGGAAGAGGCCTTTCTGAGATGAAGACATTGAGCAAAGACCTGAAGAGTCAGGAAAAGAACAAAGCAGCAAGAGAAGCAAGTATGAAGGTCTAACGTATGAGCAGGTATGCACTTTTCTAGGAAAAGAAAGGATTCTGTGGCTGATCGAGTGAACAAAGACAACTGGGATACCATAGCAGAGTAAAGAGGTGAGTATCAGATCATGTGTGGGCCCCTACAGGCCATACATAAATCTTAAAGACATGCAACAGACCTGCAACCCATTTTTTTTCTTGCCACATCCTAACTTATTTTCATCTACAGCCATCATAGAACTTTACACAGATATTCTATTTCATATTTATTTACATAAAACAAATGAATTAAATATGCAGAAAACTGTAAGGATGAGCATGCTCTAGTCTGAAGGATGATCTTAGCTCTGTGATACAGAAATATGTGGAGCTTACTTGTCTAGTATGGATATTTTTTAAAAAAGATACTGGGGAGAGAATTCCAAGATGGCGGCTAGAGGGAGGAAGCAGAAAGCGAGCCTCCTATAGTGAAATCTTGGAGAGACGCTGGAGACACACTTTGCAGGCATAATCACCGAGAAAAGGCATAACTTTGACCCCTCCACACCTCCAGCCGGCGCAGAGAATCTCCACTTCACGTTAAACAGAGAACCGAGGAGGGCCCCCGGGGCCGCCAGGGGCCGGCGCCCATACGGCTTGGGAAGACGCGGACCAGTTTACTGTCGATTAGTACACTAAAGCTCCCTGTTTATACCTTTGAAACTCTCTTGTCTGATACCTTGTTCTGCTTTCTCCCTCTTGTCTGTATATTTGTTTTCCCCTTTTCTTTAACTTCTTGCTTTCCATCTCAGCTCACTCTTCCATTCTCAATATTACCATTGTTATTATTACAAGCTAGAAAATACTTAATTACACACAGTACAGGGACAGTAACAACACCAAGGACAATGACCCGCAAGACAGAAAAAACAAGGAAACCAGTTTCCCCACAGCAAAAAATTAGTACAGGAACCAGAGGGGAATGAAGAGAACAGAAACTCAGATCCAGACTCCAACAAAATGAAGATAAACTATGCCAAAGGACCCAATGAAGCCTACAAGAATAATTTAAAAGAAGACATACTACAAGTACTCAATGAGAATTTTATAGAGATGATACTGGATAGGGTCAACCAAAATGTACAGGAGACACTCAAGAAATTCCAAGACAAAAAAATAGAGAATTTGAAAAAGCAAAAGAAGAAATAAAGGAAACCATAGAAGCACTGTATAAACACCAAAGTGAAAGAGAGAACACAATGAATAAATGGATAAATGAACTCAGGACAAAAATAGACAACAATAAAGAAGAAAACAGCCAGGATATGGAAAACCTCAGAAAAAAGAACGAAACAGAACTGCAAAACAAAACGGAAGGCCAATCCAGCAGAATAGAACAAACAGAAGACAGAATCTCAGAACTTGAAGATGAAATGGTAATTAAAGGAAAAACTGAAGAACTATTAATTAAACAACTCAAGACCTGTGAAAAGAAAATGCAAGAACTCACTGACTCCATCAAAAGACCAAACTTGAGAATCATGGGCATCGAAGAAGGAGAAGAGGTGCAAGCGAAGGGAATGCGTAATATATTCAACAAAATAATAACAGAAAATTTCCCAAATCTAGAGAAAGATATTCCCATACAAATGCAAGAGGCCTCCAGGACACCAAACAGACCAGATCAAAATAGAACTACTCCACGACATATCATCATTAAAACAACAAGTTCAGAAACTAAGGAAAGAATATTGAAGGCTGCAAGAGAGAAAAAACAAGTAACATACAAAGGTAAACCCATCAAAATCACAGCAGACTTCTCAACAGAAACATTAAAAGCAAGAAGAGCGTGGGGTGAGATCTTCCGGGCACTGAATGAAAATAACTTCAACCCCAGGATACTCTACCCAGCAAAGCTATCATTCAAAATAGATGGAGCAATAAAAGTCTTCCATGATAAGCAGAAACTAAAACAATATGTGACCACAAAGCCACCATTACAAAAGATTCTGCAAGGGATCCTGCACACAGAAAGTGACACCCAACTTAACCATGAAAAGGCAGGCAGCACCAAACCACAGGATAAGAAAAAGCAAGACAGTAGAGAGTAACATCAAGTTAGGTACACACAATCAAACCTTCAAACAACTAAGATAACTAAATGGCAGGAATCACCACATACCTATCAGTACTAACGCTTAATGTTAATGGACTTAATTCACCCATCAAAAGACACCGTTTGACAAAATGGATTAAAAAGGAAGATCCAACAATTTGTTGCTTACAGGAGACTCATCTCACCGACAGAAATAAGCATATGCTTAGGATGAAAGGCTGGAAGATTTACCAAGCCAATGGCCCCCGAAAACAGCAGGAGTAGCAATACTTATCTCTGACAAAGTAGACTTCAAACCTACATTGATCAAACGAGATAAAGAAGGACATTCCATACTAATAAAAGGGGAAATAGACCAAAAGGAAATAATAATCATCAATCTGTACGCACCCAATGTCAACGCACCCAATTTCATCAAACATACCCTGAAAGACCTAAAAGCATATATAAACGCCAACACAGTGGTTGTGGGAGACTTTAACACTCCATTATCATCAATAGATAGGTCATCCAAACAAAAACTCAATAAAGAAATCCAAGATCTAAAATATGCAATAGATCAAATGGACCTAGTAGATGTCTACAGAACATTTCATCCAACCTCTACACAATATACATTCTTCTCAGCAGCCCATGGAACCTTCTCCAAAATAGATCATATCCTAGGGCACAAAGCAAGCTCAGCAAATATAAGAAAATAGAAATATACCATGCATACTATCTGACCACAATGCAGTAAAAGTAGAACT